TAACGATGAGGCCCCACGCGGAAAGCTTCATGTTCCCTTCGTAGCCCTGAGCAATAGCGATCACTGCACATATTCCAAGCAGACTAAGATACCACCAGTGGGGTACCCGCTTTTGGAAGGACATGAGCTTGAGGTAGGGATCATCATAGTCGCTGCGCTTATTGTTCCAGGCGTTCTTGAAATCCTCCCAGCCTGATTTACCGTACCACAGGATTGCGTAGGTCATAGACGCTGTAAGGGCGGCGAAGGTCCAGAACCAGTAAAACACATATGATGGGGCCCAGTAAGGGGATCCGTACTCAGCCAGCGCAGTGCGGTTAACCTCTAAGTTGGAGCCAACAATGGCCGAAACATCGTAGGTGCTGCCATTGACGGTGTAGGTATCTGTGTCCATTGGTGCAAAGTTCTGTGCGTTCATGGTGTTGGTAAAGTAGATGGCGGGGTAGAGTATCCAGATACAGAAAATGACGAAGATACACTGGTTCATACTAGACCAGAGCGGTGTATAGTATGGATACATGAAGGTGATATAGTTCCAATCAAGCGACAAGTCCAGAATACCCTATTCTCAGAAGTTAGCAGCCAACTTTGACTTTGCAGGTATGAAGATGGGAACAGACAAATCCGTAGGTACCCGAGCCCAGGATAAAGGCTTTCCAGTTGCCATGGCCAAACCAACAAATCAAAGGAAGAGAGCCCAGAAGAGGAAAAATGAGCTCTGGGAGCCACTCATACACAAACGTGATAGATGCGATGATGGCAAAGTACTTGAGGGCTTTTTTAGTTACGGATGGGTTGCGATGCATCGCATTGAACAGTGCCACGTTGGGCAACACTCCGGGATAATACATCTTCGGGGGTCGAACCAGGATATCACGGAAGAGACCCGCGAAGCCATATCCGATCATCTGGGAAGCTAACAAGAAGAACATGGACCACCCAGCGTTGAGCTTTTCACCGTAGTAGAGTTCGATGGCAGACAAGGGTCCCATTCCGATAGCTGTGTAGCACTGTTTCTTGTCAGCTTGACAAGCGCTCTATCACCACGAAGGAGAAGTCACTCACACTACCCCAGTAGGCCACAACAATAAGTGCATGCTCCTTAGCGTTCCAAGGGCCTGGATTCATCGACCACTTCCATCCAAAGAAGCTGAATTGCCTCGTGGGTAAATACCGAGCCATGGCATCACCCATGCCCCAGGATAGCAACTGGATGGCATAACTGGTGATTGTGTTGTAGTATGGCTTGAAGTAGTAAAAGGTGGAAAGTGCGCAGCCGACAAGGACCCAGAAGGTAGATAGAACCCAGAATCGAAAGGTTAGGATCGGTTCACTACGCAGGTTGGATATTAGCGATGCGATCAACATTGGGAATAAAACGAGAAGCTTACGTCGGGTCATTGCGAAGATCTACCGTCTTAGCCACCAAAGGAATGGGATAGTCCTTCAGACGAGGATCGATGAACTCGTCATTATCGTCAGGGACAATACCCTCTCCGATGGGAAGATCTTTGTAATCTCCCTTGAGGTCCGCCTCCGCGACAAAGCCCGGGGCGACTTCCACATCGTGGATGTCTGCAGTCTCCTTGACCAGCAAGTCGTCCTTCTTTTCATTCACCTCCTCCAAGGGGGTGGAGACGGGACTGTCAGTGACCTCGTCCGCCATGCTGGTATTGGTTCAAGGACGGGACGATCGCATTGTTTCAATAAATCTGTGGCCTGGTGTGGCCTTATATATATCGTTCGCTGTGTTCGACCCCATCCCAAGCACCCCTACACCCCGTTATCTCGAGGAATGACGGCCAGAAACCGGAATACCGGATAAGGGCCTGTGTGCTTGAAGGAAATGATAACGACTTGCTAAATGGTTCCAATGAGAGCAGATCCTGCTCAGTTTGCTAATGAAAGTACTGTCTGGACTACACCATAAGCGACGGCAAAATACACTTCCCCGCTTCGTTGGTGATAAATTAAATTGCCCGGTGCTCCTCGTAATGTCTTATCGCGTACGCCGTTATGTAAATGGCTAATAATATGATGCCTCTAGTTCGCCATCGTCTAGAGACATTGCGAACGATGTGCCGGGAATCCGGTCTTTAGGTGTGCTACATCGTATCATGAGAGATAGAAATGTTGTGGCAGGGTAGAATGGAGTCCATAAGGATGCCAGTGCGCCGGTATCAAAAATACAATTGGCTTCTCGCATTTTGTCTTCAATGGTTGGCGAAAATGTCCCGATGCGATACATTATGGACGTGGATGAGATATGGGGATAATCTCATTGGCGGTGCTACACGTGGCCGCTCAGTATTCCCGAGGCGAGTCTGATAACCATCTGCGGGGGCATAAGTCCATGAAGGGCCACCATGGCACGGCGGCACACTGTTTTGAGAAGCACCCAATCATTTCGCGAAGGCGCACACCACTAACGGGAATCTTATCGCGATGATAATTAATTGGTGATACACAGCGGCACATTATTCGTGCTATTCGGAATTGGCGATTCGTAAGTGGTTGTATTTGACTTCGCCTCTATCAGGCCGACGAGGAGGTGGCACAAGAACTAAGTCCACCTTGCGCCGGAGCTCCATCGCATCTCCGAAGCGTTGACCCGGGCGAGCGCAACACCCCTATGCACAGCATATATGTTTTGAATGAATCATGGACCTAAGCGCTCGAGGGGGTTGGTGACAGGCCTCAGAACCGGGTATCACAACATCGAGGTCAAATCATCATGGGCAGGTATTCCCATGGAGTCTAGACTCAGGAGATGGCGAGGTTGGGAGGCGCATTAGACCAGCCACTAATCCGATGCACGACACCGAATAAATTCAACGAGGCACGCACCCATAGAGATAAGCACACGGTGTGATCTTCGGTTTCCCACGGCCTGCGCGGTTTTGTTCGCTATCAGATACGATCTAGTATGCCTGGAGGCAGGCCTCCATGGGGGGGACTAATACCTTCATCATGGATGACCTTCCGCAATGGGTAACCGTTCAAGGCCTAAAACGAGCATTCAATTGGTGTTCGAGTGGTGGAGTGTCAACAACGAATATATTTATTCGACTCGGCGGTACATGACCAGTGATAAGTCACGGTACCGTTATAACGTTGCAAGATACCATTGGTAGTTCGCAGTCGGATAATTGTAGACAAGCTTTCGAGTGTGATGTGTAGTTGACCTCTATTCGGCGTTGTTTCCTCGAACCCCTCTTTCATGCATGTGGCAAACACCACCGAGTGGCACTATATCAGCTAGTCGAGTGGGACTCGTGGAGGTGTTATTCCAGTGGAAATGCTTGCTGCTTAGAATGCGCTCATCTTTGTCCAAATTGGGGTGCTCTTAGATTGAGTGGCCAGAATCAACCTGCATTAAATCAGTCCGTGCATAGCCAGATATTTGACCGCCTACTCATGCGCATTGGTCTTTGTAAGATTAGTTTAGATGGAATAACTCTCAGGAAGCGCTTTGAGTGGCGCCGTTGCAGATGAGAGAATTTCCAGAAATGTTGGAAGAGCGAGAGCTGAAGCGCCTGGACATCTTACCTGCTGCTTGTATGGACCACATGATCCCCAGGTCTGTAGTGCATCGATTTCTCACCGTTCCTCAGATGAATTCGCACTGACACCCCTCATTCTCATGACCATGCAGCTGAGCTGGAGATTAGTGCACTACCCACAGACATTGACAGAGCCAGTACCATCGTTACCTTACAGATAGCATGACACTAATGAGGGATCAAGATTATAGGCCCGTCATGAACGCAGTACACATCATCGGCGGAGAACTAATATAATTTACATAAAGACGAGGGGAAAAGAAAGCTTGGTATCCGCATGATTCCGCGAGTATCCTTATCTCGCCATATTCACAGTTCCTTGCATCAGCCTTACAAAACCCCTAGGGAGGCATTCCTTCGCAGTGTTCTTGTTGAACGTCCACCAATTCATGCAATCAATTCTAAACTTCATCATCTAAAGAACGCACTCGGGACAGGAAGACAAAAGCGCAACTCATTGGGTGATATCCTCGGGGTGGCTTCGAAATTTATGATCATGGTGAAAATGTAATTATGTGGTCTTTCTTGGTATTGAATACAATCCATGGGTAGTAGGCATAAGTGCAACAGCAAGCCATGCAAAGTCTATGGGGAAGATAATGATAATGGGATGAGGAAAGTGAAACGATGGCCGCCGACTAATGCCATTGTATATTTTCAGATGACCAGTCCTGGGTTATCTTCACCCCAATGTCGCCATTATGGAAATACAGATTAAATTCCATATGTGTACCAGATCTCCCGCGTTTTTATCTTCAATTTGCCGTGGTTCGTCTGCGATTAAAAATCTCCTTAACGGTATCCCCGAATCCTACCATACAGATCGTAGCCCACGCCGCAACCCCGATGCGAGGAACCACACCGCGAAACAGACCCTTGACTCCGGTCGTCGCAAGGATATACTTGAAAGTGGATAGAATTGTCGGAGATGTTGGCCGGGCAGGATCATTCTTCATAGATTGCATTTCCACGCGCAGCACCTGTAGAGTCAGCAACCACAAGCCCTCACTTGCCCATCTCAGGAACACCTACTTCGAATGGCTGGTTCCAGCAGCTCAATGCGCCACCGATCGTAGATGCCAGGATTTTCTCCCCAAACTTAAGCTTCTCGTCCTTCGCCTTGCCATTGACCTTGCGGATGCTTTCTTCGGCAAAACGCGAAATACCAATCCGAGAAGACCAACCCGTGACCTGTCGTAGCGCGACGGCGTTAACACCTTTGTTCACTCCTCGAATTCCCTTTTCGCGAAGTATTTGAAAGAACATTTCTAGCGCTCCCGGTACTTTGGCACCTCCAACACTCATCTTGGAGCGGGTCACTTCGACTGTTTTCATGCATGTCGTCATTCCCATTGTCAGATAAGATTGAGCAACACCGCCGCCAATGCCACCCAGGACACCGCAGACAGTAGGTGATGCATTGAACTTTGCTCTAGCATAGTACTCGATCTCACTTGATGTCACTATCAGAATGGCGCCTTTGGTGGAGGCTTCCAGCCAAGCCTGTGAGAATTAGTACGACGGGTGTCTGGATGTTGGTTCAGGAATGAACAAATCACGTACCCACGGTATTAGCCCCTGATAAAAAGCAAGAAATCGTCCCCGGGACCAAGTCTTCTGGAATGCATCCCGCAATGTGTCTTGCCGGTTTGCTGCCAACTACAAGGGTAAGTGGTCAAAAGTTATTTGAGGACAGTGTGATACAATCTCGGGTGGAAGTTCAACATACATGGGTCTTGATTACTTCTAGCGGCTGACCAAGAGAAGTAACTGGCTAACGTTAGAATGGTACTTGGCAGCTAGAGATCCTCACTACCTTGGAAGATGTTCATCAACGCGCCGACCGCCAAGTTCCGATAGGGGATGGGGCGCTTTTGCTCGGCAGCGCCTTGCAAAGTCGGCATGTCCGTAGCTACTACTTGGGACATGTTTCGAGTGTTATGTCTCCTGAATAAGACCGCATTTTGCCGAATCAGTTGCTGGAATTAATGCTCTAATGATTGACGGACCATTGTGATGCTCATCGGATGCACCCGATGCCATACCTCGGGTGTATCGGCTTTCCCGAAGGAGGGGTCCCGCCGGGCTCGACCACACACCAGTAATGCCAATGGAGGAGATGCGCAGGAAGTGCAGCGCTAAGGTGCAGTAACTTGTGATGTTAATATCAAAGCTAAGTCTTTCGCGTGGATGCCTACCACGATTCATGGTTTACCAACGGGCTACCTACACAATGCTGTCACAAGCTCTAGCTACCCATGAAAGGCGCTCCAATACACCGTAGGTACATCCAGCAAATATAGCTGTTCAAGCTAACCCACCTAGATTCCTTCTCTCAAAAGAGTCATTTGACACACATGTACACGTCTTCGATCCCAAGCTTGGCCCATATGCGGCCGGGCGAGCATACACTCCGGAGGACGCGCCGTTGCAAAAGTTACTAGCATTAAATCAGAGTCTTACAAGGAGCTACAACAACACTACCCTGGTGTTGGTTCAGCCATCACCTTACAAGACTGACTGTTCGGTTATGATGCATTGCCTGCGTGAATTGAAGGACCGAGGCATCAGCTCGTTCGGAATTGCAGTGTTAGATCTTAACTCTACTACCAATGCGCAATTAAGCGAATTGCACGCCCTTGGAGTGCGAGGTGTTCGATTAAACTTCCAAGCAGATGGGAAAGAAGTCGACATTACGCATTTAGTAGCTATTCTGAATCATACTGCAGACCGCATACACCATCTTCCCGGCTGGGCGATCCAGTTGTTCGTTCCAGGGTGGACATGGGACCGTGAGTACTGATCTACTAATGACAGTGTATCACAACTTTCATCACTGATATTCTACAGTCCTGTATGATGCTGTTCGTGAGCTTCCCGTACGGGTTATTGCAGACCATCTAGGTGGCATGCGTGGCGCATCTAAGCTGCCTTCTGATTTACAGTCGACGCCAACATCCCAACCGGGATTTCGCTCCCTCCTATCATTAGCGAAACAATCGATTGTCTATGTAAAGGTTTCTGGGTTATATCGTATGTCAAATTGCTTAGCCTCGACCTTTGATGACCTGCAGCCGATCGTTCAAGTAATGGCCAGCGAGATTTCTAATCAGATTATTTGGGGGAGCGATTGGCCGCACACGGGCGATGGACATGAGCGGGTTAAACACTCAATAGAAAACAAAGAACCGTTCAGGACGATCGACAACCATGCAATCCTCCAAAGATTGTATGACTGGATGGGAGATGATGCCTACTGGAAGATGATGGTGGATAACCCAGGCCGGCTGTATATGGATTGAGCATCTACTCTTTTTACCAAACCGCATCACTGAATAGAGGTCTGCATACTCAGGTGGCTCATGAGTTTCTGTGGAAAGATTAGATATCCTATGAGCGCTGTAATTGACACAAGACTCAGTAAGACGAAGGCCTTTCGCAATGGAATTAATAGACTGATTAGTAATAGAAATGCCAAGCCCGAGGCTCTTGGTTGTAGAAGCAAAGACGAACTGCAGTTTCCATCCTGCGCATTGTATCCTCAACGGCTACGCTACCATACATTGAAGAGTCATAAAAGCTATGGCTTCGATGAGTGGAAGTCCATCGGGCTCAACCCCTCGTCGTCATCGGCGAGGTTTGCCGCGGAGTGTGGCTGCATGCCAGCGGTGTCGACGACGCAAGCAGAAGGTCAGCGACATACCATAAGGTCAAATAATTACTCACTAAAGCAGCCAGTGTGATGGGAAAATGCCAACATGTGGACCATGTGCTGCCGCTGAAACCTCATGTGTCATGTCGGATAGATTGGTGATCCAGCATCCGTCTACGAATTGTGATTGTGATGCCCTGCGGGCCCAACTCGCTGCTGCTGAGCGACGAAGCAATGAGCTGTCTGAAAAATGTCAGCAGCTAGAGACCCGATTGCTGGAGGCTTTGAGTTCCGTTCGAACGAATGTCTCCGGGATTTCAAGTCATGGTCTTCCATTGCCCGAACATGAATCCACCGAGGCTATATCTCGGTCTGACGGACTGAGTGCGAACCCAGATTGTCGCTTCCTTAGTCGGATCCTAAGACCAACATTCTCGCTGCAATTTAGCACCAGGCGGGAAAGCCGCAGTGCTATGAGCAGCGCTTGGGAGCTATGGGGTGATATCGCAGATATCGAAGTTCCTGAAACTGATGGCTTAAGTCTCGATAATGACACGTACATCAACCTGGCCGGCACTTTTTTCGATAGACGATGGCCATATTTACCGATATTACATCGGCATACCTTCATCAACAAGCACTTGACAGCCTTCCTGACGAAGTCCGAGATGAAACCATTGACCAATTTTATGGTCAACATCGTCTGCGCCATTGCGTCAACCGAGAAGTCATCACCCCAAAGTCGCGACAAGACCCATCGGGTATTCTTTAGAGAAGCCATAAAAGACCTGGACATGATTTTGAGCGGTGAAAATATTGAATGTGTCCAGTGTCTGCTCTTAATGTGCATGTATGGCCATAACGAACCCCAGTCAGTCAATATGTGGTTTACGACCGCCATGGCCTTGAATTTAGCCATCGGCCTTGACCTACACCGCAGAGAGAGCCTTTCTGGGAAAGGCTTGATGGATGCAGAGATGTCGAAGCGTGTTTTCTGGTGTGCGTACGTGATTAACTGCAGCGTGGCTATCAACATGGGCCGGCCCTTGGGCATCCAAGAGTCAGATATCAGCATGCCCTTACCTATGCAGCTGACGGACGCCCAGCTCATTGAATCCATCCAGAGTCCCCACGTCGAAGAATCACTGATACCACATGTAGCGGACACGTCAACGTTTGTTCACATCATTAAGCTCCGCCGAATTAACGCAGGAGTTTACAAAACGTTTCATTCTATCGGTTCTGTTCCAACTGATCCTGCTGAACTAGACCGGCTTCGCAGTGGATATTTTCTGGAGTTGAATCAGTGGATAATTACGGCGCCGCGTTATATGCAGACTCTATCTACCTTTCAGTCCACTGAGTGGTTTCAGATTGCCTTTCATCACGCCGTTCTTTCCCTTTATCGTCCATCACGTGCGGTCCCAATGCCATCGCCAGATGATCTGCGGACCTGCACCGAGTCTGCCATTGGTCTGATAAGCTCATACAGCGCATTGTATGCGCGGAACCGCATCAAATATACGTTCATCGCAATTCACTCGTTGTTCTTGGCAGCCGTGACGATGCTCTACTCTCTACGAGCGTTTGCACCCCTGCGACAAGAATTGACCAAGCCGGTGATTCAAACAAATATATCTACATTTCTTACACTCTTCCGGGGCATTTGCGATGGGCGTGCGGTCGGCGAGAAATGTTGCAGGATTGTTGAGCGACTTGGCCAGTCGATTATGTCCTTATTCGAACATGAAGACCAGGCAGATTTGAGTGTTGACACCGAATTCCAGACCTGGTTTGGACTTCGAGCGCACACGTTCCCGTCCAAGGCTAGCAACCCAGCCTCAGATGCTTATGCTCATGACTCACCGTCACGGCTTCCTGACGTTCAAATGGACCTACCATGGGCTGACCTGTTTGTGGAAGGAATTGACATGAGCACGGCAGATGTTTGGAGCGTTCTATTTTGATGTTTCTACGGAGAATGGCGAATGATGTCGGGTATTGTGTTGAGGTGGCGCTGAGGGTGGTTCCCATTTACAACTTCCTCGGGTGGATTATCGGTTTCTGTATCAACAGGACTGGATTAAAAAGAGATCTCGAACCTTTAAGCAGAACCACTCATGTGGCCAAACGCGATCATGACAACTTTTTGCTCAAGGCCTAGTATGATCTGTTACGGGTTAAATACCTCGGGTCAACGGCCGGGGTCCGATGCCACCGATGAAATTTGCCGATGCTACAAAGCTAGCTGTTTCTGTGTGTGCGCGGACCAGGCATTCAGGTTGTCTGGCTGGATGTAGGTCTCACACTCCGGCCCTAGGTATACCGATGCCTTTAGGAGGGGTGACTTGGAGACCCCAAGGTGCGCTTCGAAGTCGCAGGCGAACAGTTGTCAATTCGCGATCGGATGAGCCGATGAGGCCGGCTGTAACCGGTTAATTGGTTTCGGATGTATCCGATGGCAACTTTAATGTCCGCCCTTGGAGACAAGATTAAAAACCACCCAATCATTTGCACCAACGTTGTTTCTAGCCATCAAGGCATCATCATGTTCAAATATACCTATCGGAATCGGGTCGCTTCTAGCGCTCGGCGCTACTTGTCGAAGCAACACTCCATCCCTGCGGCCTATTACCGCGGAGGCACCTCGCGCGCCGTCATGTTCAATCAGGCCCATCTCCCTCCTCGCTCGGAGTGGGACGCCATTTTTCGTTCCGTCATTGGCAGCCCTGATCCATACGGACGGCAGCTTGATGGTCTAGGAGGGGGTATCTCCAGCCTTTCCAAGGTATGCGTGGTGGGGAAATCCACCCATCCAGATGCCGACGTTGATTACACTTTTGTGTCGTTGGGGGTCAAAAATTCCGATGTCGATTACTCCAGCAACTGTGGCAATATGATCAGTGCCATTGGTCCCTTTGCCCTTGACCAAAAGCTTGTTTCTTCCCAAACGCCCGAGTCGGCCACTGTACGCATCCACAACACCAACACGGGTAAAATAATCACTGCCTCCTTTCCCGTGGTGGATGGAGAGGCTGCCTCTAGCGGTAATTTCGCTATTGATGGCGTTGCTGGCACAGCTGCTCGAATTCAATTAGATTTTGTCAACCCGGCTGGCTCGGTGACCGGGAAAATGCTGCCGACGGGGCAGACAAGGGATGAGTTCGACGGTGTTCCAGCCACATGTATTGATGTGGCCAATCCATGCGTTTTTGTTCCAGCTAGTAGCTTGGGGGTTCGTGGTGATTTGACTCCGGACGATATTGCCGCTCATCCAGATCTTCTGCAGAGGCTGGATTCTATCCGGCGCCAGGCAGGGGTCAAGATGGGTATAGCATCAACTACCGGCGCCGTCCCAGGAAGTATCCCCAAGGTTTGTATGGTGTCACCACCTCAGCCGTCTAAGGGAAAGGACCCTGTCGACCTGCTTGTGCGGGCCATCTCTGTGGGACAACCACACAAGGCAGTACCCATTACTGTCGCGTTGGCAGTTTCTGCAGCTGCTCGCGTGACAGGTAGTACTGTTGAAGATGCAACCAACCAAGATCGCGTCAGTGATGCTGGTCTTACGATCGGTCATGCAAGTGGGAATTTGCTTGTTGGGGCTCAATTCGAGAACGATCAGCTTACCGCGGCAACTGTCTTCCGTACTGCACGTCGGCTCTTTGAGGGCCAGATTTATTGGAAGAGCTAGATTTACAGTGTTTAAGATATTCCAATTTCTCAAGCGGGAGTAAATTCCCTGTAATGATCGTGATTGTACTTTGCCATTAACATAATAACCATTAGTCATGACTATATATAATCTGTCGGAACATACACCGTAGCCACAAACCCACCAAGACCTTTACTCGGTCAAGATATAACGCACCTGCCTGCTTTTCGAAACTTCACTAAGCATTATCATGAGACGACTATGCACTAGGCTGGTATCTGCATAGTACTCCATATGAACCACACTGCCTTATAGGTTCATTCGCCACCTGTGAGTCGTTTGATAAAGTCTATCGGAGCATCCGATGGAAATTGAGTGCAGCGACACTCATACCCACCTGGGATGCCAAACCCACAACTGATGATCAGACGGTCGAGACAAGGGACAAGAAAGACAACGCCAGACAATCATAGACATCTTCCAATCAGACAATAGCAGATATAATGACTAGAACCGATCATACCATGGAGACGTGTGCACCCCGCTTTTTCTTCCTTGACTCCACATCCTCTTCCCCACGGGGGATCAGACGGAAAGTACTTAAGCCGCCTAGTAAGTCTCTGAACCAAAGGTCAAGCAGGGAATGAAAGTGAAAATGGCAGGCCTTACTCTCCCTGTTGTCGGTACCCGGCTCCAGATCGCTCTGGTACTTCTTATCGTTGCCCCTTCGTTCATTCTCTTCGGATACAATCAAGCGGTCCTGGGCAGTTTACTCAGCCTCCAAAGTTGGGTCTCTGTATTTCCAGCCATCGACACCATAAACACCTCGGGGGCACAGAAGTCCCATAACTCAACATCCCAAGGCGCCTGCAATGCCTCGTTTCAGATGGGATGTCTGATAGGTGCCCTGTCCCTCTCTCTTTATAGCGACAAACTCGGACGCCGTAAGACAGTCTTTATCGGAGCTGCCATCACCGTCCTCGGTCAGGCTCTACAGGTCTCTGCAACCACATTGGTTCAGTTGGTCGTTGGCCGAGTTATCCTAGGGTTCGCTATCGGCCAAATCAGCGGCACCGTGCCTGTCTGGCTCTCGGAGTGTGCCTCTCCCAAGTACCGCGGACAGCTCGGTATCTGTACGGGTATTTTCATCAGCACGGGCTACACATTGTGCAACTGGATTGATTTGGGATTCAGCTATCTACCCTCTTCTACTGGACAATGGAGAGCTCCGCTCTCTATACCCTTTCTCTTCTCAGCAATGTTACTGGTTTCTGCTTTCACGTTTCCGGAGTCGCCTCGTTGGCTGATCTCTAGAGGAAGGGTCGAAGAAGCTACTGCAAGTCTCTGTCGGTATCGAGGAAAGGATGCGCATGATGAGATGATTATGGGCGAGATAGCCCATATTCAGCTTGCTCTAGAGGGCAGTGGGACCATGTCCGTCCTGGATATTTTCGATCGCAAGGACAAGACGCGTCTGTTGTTGCGATTTTGGCTCTGCATGGGGTTAAACTTTTTCCAACAGGTGAGTATCGCGGCTCCTATAGCACTTGGCTCTCCAAATGTACCACCGCTAATCCATTAGGCCTGCGGAGGCAACCTCATATCCGTCTATAGTTCCACCATTTTCCAAAATTACCTACACATGACACCCACCATGTCTAAAGTCCTGGCGTCCTGTGTACTATCATGGAAAACGCTCTGCTGTCTATTAACGTTTTGGACTATCGACAACTGGGGCCGCCGTCTATCCTTCATGGTAAGCGGAGCAGGGATGTCCATCTGCATGGCCGTGCTAGCGGTCACCACCGGCTTGGGCAAAATCACGCATGCGATGGCAATAGCATACGTTGCCTTCATGTTCGTCTTCAACTTCTTCTACCCAATCGGCTTCATGGGTGGCAACTTCCTGTACACGGCTGAGATTGCGCCTGTGCGTCTGCGAGCGGCCATGTCCTCCCTCGCGACTGCTAATCACTGGCTATGGAATTTGGTGGTTGTTCTGGTTACGCCAGTTGCTATAGATACGATTGGATGCTGGTACTATGTGATCTATGCGCTTATATCTGCGACTATCCCGGTCTGCGTGTACTTCTTCTATCCGGAGACGAGGCACCGTAGTTTGGAGATGCTTGATCGGGTGTTTGTGGATGCCCCTTCTATCTGGCGGATTGTGCCGATGGCCAGGGGGTTGCCGCTCGGAGAAGTCGGCACAGCAGAGAGTGGAGATACACTGCGCGAGGAAAAGAAGGCAGAGGATATAGATGGTAATGTTGAGATGCGGGAGTATGTCTAGATGGATTAGCTGGACAGCGTTGCTATTGTAATTAGTTGTTCCTCGGGTAGAAGAGATGCGATATGCCCATCGGCCCAGCCGACGGAACCATCCGAAGCTGACACTAGGAAGACCGAGGAGTAAATCAGCCACAGCTGGAGATGTTACATAGACCCTTGTGATTTATATCTACTGTCTTATCCAATAGATCACTCTTGTTTACCAATGCATCATCAAGATGGTCAGAACACGAGTGAGCTGTCCCAAGTTAGCCAGAGGCTATGCCTCCCACACCCAAGTGCCAATAAGTCGACTTGAACAACATAAAATAAACATCTCCCAGTTTCCTTCTGCCATCCAATCACTAAGAAAGCGGTAGCTACTCACTTCGCACCTACGCTGCATTATTAGACCCCTACTAATATCCACATCATAGATACGACCGCCCCCTCACATACGCCGAAAAAGTCCTTTACAGCCATCTTGACATCACTTTTGACGAGCGCATCGAGCGCGGCAAAACCCAACTCAAACTACGCCCGCAACGCATAGCATGCCAAGATGCGACAGCCCAAATGGCATTTATCCAGTTCATGTCCGCGGGACTAGACACAGCGGCCGTACCAACCACAGTCCACTGCGATCATTTGATCGTCAGTCGTGACGGCGAAACACAGGACCTCGCTCGAGCGCTGGACAACCATAAAGAAGTGTACGATTTCCTCGAGTCTGCCTGCCAGAAATACAACATGGGGTTCTGGAAGCCCGGCGCGGGAATCATTCACCAGATTGTGCTGGAGAACTACGCCTTCCCTAGTGGAATGATGATCGGGACGGACTCTCATACTCCCAACGCAGGAGGCCTTGGCATGATAGCCATCGGAGTTGGTGGTGCCGATGCAGTAGACGTGATGGCTGGATTGCCGCTGGAACTCCAAGCGCCGCAGGTATTGGGTGTCCGTTTGACGGGGCAGTTGTCCGGATGGGCTTCGCCGAAGGATATTATCAATGCTGTAGCCGGGACGCTTTCCGTTAACGGAGGTACTGGATCCATTATTGAGTACTTTGGACCTGGGGCGCAGACTCTGTCAGCCACAGGCATGGCAACTGTTTGCAATATGGGTGCGGAGACGGGTGCCACAACGTCCATCTTCCCTTATGCGCCACAGATGGCGGATTATCTTCGTGCGAATCATCGCCATGAGATGGCTGATGCTGTTAAGAGCATTGCACCGGAATTGCAGGCCGATGAGGGGGCTGAGTATGATAATGTTATTGAGCTCGATTTGTCCACTCTCGAGCCACGGATCAATGGACCTTTCACGCCGGACTTTTCGACTCCGGTGTCGCGGTTCGGTGAAGCCGCGGCGGAGAACCAGTGGCCGGGTGAATTGACGGCGGCTTTGATTGGATCTTGTACTAACTCTTCGTTTGAAGATATGGGACGTGCAGCTAGTCTTGCCCAGCAAGCATTGGATGCAGGACTGGAACCAAAGATGCCGCTGTTGGTGTCTCCGGGTAGTGTTCAGACGCGCGAGACACTGAAAGATGCCGGTATTCTGCCGGTCTTCGAGAGACTCGGGGCGACGATGCTTCCCAACGCCTGCGGTCCATGCTGTGGGTCGTGGGATCGAGTTGATATGCCAAAGGTATAGTATCGCCATCCCACCTACCGAAAGACTGTCTTTTGACATATATTAGGGCGCCCCCAACTCCATAATAACCTCCTACAACCGGAACTTCTCCGGCCGTCTAGATTCCAACCCAGCAACCAACGTCTTCCTAGCATCGCCCGAGCTCGTCATTGCAAAGGCCTTCTCCCGCGACCTCTCCTTCAACCCAACAACTGACTCGCTCCCAACCCCATCCGGCGAGCAATTCCACTTCCTCCCTCCAACCAGCGATTCCCTCCCCTCAAAGGGCTACCTCTCCTCCGACTCCGCCTACGCACCCCCACCGGCAAACCGGGATAACATCTCCGTCAAAATCGACCCGTCATCCCTCCGCCTCCAGAAATTGTCCCCATTCCCACCCTGGCCCGGCCACGACTTCAAAGACTGCGCCATCCTAATCAAAACAGCCGGGAAATGCACAACGGACCACATCACCCCCGCTGGCCCGTGGTTCCGCTATAGAGGCCACCTAGAAAACATCTCCAACAATACCCTCATCGGCGCAACCAACGCCGAGAACGGCAAGGTGAACAGTATCCGGAACCAGCTCACGAAGCAAGATGGACAGGAAGTGCCTGCTACAGCACGCCACTACAAAGAGAACAGCGTGCCGTGGGTGGTTATCGCTGACCATAACTACGGGGAGGGCAGTTCGCGGGAACATGCGGCGCTGCAGCCGAGGTATCTAGGTGGTGTGGCGATTATCGCGAAGTCATTTGCAAGAATCCATGAGGCGAATTTGAAGAAGCAGGGGTTGTTGGCACTGACTTTCGACAATGAGAAGGATTATGAAAGGATTAGGGCTGAGGATCGGGTTAGTATTTTGGGGCTTAGGGAGGGGGAGTTTGTTCCGGGGAGCACTTTGAGGTTGGTAGTTAATGGGGGCGAGTGGGAGGCTGTGCTCAGGCATAGTTTTACGGAGGAGCAGATTGGGTATTTTAGAAGTGGGAGTGCGTTGAATGTTATGGCGGGGAAGTAGTTGAAGTGTCTAGATGATGGGCTGTGTGGTGGTTTGTTGATGAATTTGTCTATAGCCAATGTGTATTTGTATGCTATGTGATACTCTAACCATATCATAAATCATTCAACGCCACCACTATCCTCCGCAACGCCTCCTCCAGATACTCTCTCGGATGCGTGAACACAATCCGGAACCACCCACTATGCTCAGACCCAAACAACACCCCACTAGCCAGAAACACCTTCCTCTGCAAGAGAAGCTGCATCACCTTGTCGCTGATCTCATCACCCAAATCCGCAGTCTGCTCGGGATGTAGTTCGCGATACCGCTTGCCCAAGTTAACCCAAAGGAAGAACGCAGAATTGACACCCGGAGCATATTCAATCCCATTCTCCCTTAGCCGTTGAACAGCGAACGCATACGACTCGGACATCTTCTGCCGGTTAAGCTGGATATACCTCGTAGTGAAATCTGTATCTTCAAGAACCGTAGCAGCGACATGCTCCGAGACAGAGGAGGAATAACTATATAACGAGACGCCCTGCAACGCCTTATGAAGCGTGGGGTTGTTCTGAGAGATAATCACTCCGAGACGGATACCATTGGCGCCAAAGTCCTTGCTCATTCCCCACAGCGCATGGAGTAAACTAGGGTCAATGATGCCGGTCGTGTCGATCGATAAGGCAGATTCGAATGGCACGGGAGTGTGCTCGTCAACGGTATTCTCCCACACAGACAAAGCGTATATCTCGTCGCTTATCAGATGGATCTGATATTTCTGACACAGCTGCATCAGACGGATGATAGTTTCCCGGGGGTAGCACCGGCCCAACGGGTTATGTGGGTGACAGAGCATGAGGGCGCGGACTTTCCGGCCAGTGTCTTGCTGAAACGTGAGCAGTGCGCGCTCGTAGCAGTCCACGGCCTCGAGACTGAATGGATCGCTGTCGTTGAATTCTACAGGGACAACTGTCGCCCCGGGGCGGAGGGACATATCTGGGATGAAGGTGCCGTAGTAGGGTCTGCCCAAGAGGATGCCTTCGCCAGGGTCGGTGAAGGCCCATGAGATGTGCTCGATGGCGGAGGAGACGCCATTTGTGACGAGTAGGTCGTTGATGGTCAGTGGTTTGAATGGTTGAAGGTGTTTGTTCAGAAAAGATGCCATGGCGCGTCGGAGGCGCTCTGCACCAATTGCGCCGTCATTGTAGGTGAGGTATTTGGCTGGGAGGGTGAGCTTGGTGTTGATGTATTCGAGGAGGTAGTCATGCATCAGTGCGTTTTCGGCAACCCCAACGTTCACGTAGCCGTCGGGTTTGGTTGTGGGACACCATGGGTTCTTTAGGATGTCCCACATGAGGTTATTGCGGGAGGAGACGACTGTGCGGGCTCGCTGGGAGAGGGCGGAGGTCTCCATCTTGTTGGATGCAGGGCTGTATGCTACGATTGGGGTGTGTTTGTGGTAAAATATGGGCTTGGGGAGCCAGAAGAGAAGTGAGGATTTGACACACGTGAGGAGGTTGACTCCACTGGATGTTACGGATATCCGCGGGTTCTTGGCAGTTCCAGAAAACACTGAGGTGTTCTGGATAAGTAGTTGAGATGTTAGGTTATTCAAGGGATGGTAATGGTACCGATACTGTTGATACGGAAGTGGGCTGGACGCAGTGTGGACACCTTACTTTCCATAGATGTAGACTGCTTCTGTGCGCCCAGGAGCTCAGTGAATTACATCACAGTGAAGCCTGTGAACCAAATTCTGCTTTGTGTTTGGTGGTTCGCTTAGTGTTGACTCAAGGTTGGTCGGGAACCTAATATTCCCACCATGGATGCGCTGGTGGAGAAAGTTTACGGGAGATGAAGAACTTGTGTGGTATACCGGAGGGCGTGGTTCGGCAGGCCGAGCTCGGTGAAGTGGGTCATCACGGGTTTCTGTTTGTCAATTTGTGGATGCTTCATGATGTGGGTGATAATCACCTCCTTTACTCCGCATTGAGGACAGGAATGCCAGCCTAAAGAGGGGCGATCACCGGCAATCCCTTGCGGGAGACAGGTAAGGTAGAAGGACAAATAGTATGCCTGATAAGCTCTGTGACACATCGCGTCTAAGATGGCCAGTATGGTGAATGCGTCTCAAAGCATGTGGCGATACTTTCTTTTGGTATGGGCTCAGTCCTGTCTCTTTCCCCGGAATTCAGGGCTAGTGGGAAAGCATTTCAGTATTTGACTGGGATAACGAGCGTAACATGGAGGATGATCAATAGGGCCAAACTTCTATAGGAGATGTGGATCTTGGGGGTATACACCGACGACGTAAATTCATTGACTGGGCAGAAGGGAGCTATTCTTGAGGCAATTCGAGAATAGCTCAATGCCGGTGTCATAACCGTCACATCTGCCTGATGCTCCTCATTTATCTGGAATAGCCAGCACCAGGATCGAAAGAAGCGATAGCCCATCCCCCTATCATCCGGAGCCCAATAAGTTCCACATGAGGGTTCTTAATCCCCAGCAACCATCAGTTAACGTGTGTCCCATCTAGCATGCACTAGTCGTCGTCATGGAGGTACCTGGGGGGTGAGGGGTTGGGGGCGGTGGTCATCAGCCACGTTCGAATCTTGCCAGAAGAGACTCAATAGGCCGGGATAACAAGTCATTTGTCCAGAATATAGTCAGCTACCAACAGATAGAATATATGGCCAACGAATACTATCACTGAACCACGTAGTTGAAGTGTGTGTGTTTTACTTAACCATCCAGGAGCTCTCGCTAGCTTGGGCATAGAATGTCAACATACAGAGATACCCCTTACATCTGGTTTGACGGCTTACAATATTTTTGATGCGAGAAGAATGATAACAAGCTAGGGCCTCAATTTAAACTGCTATAGCAGATTAGTAACTAGTCTGAGAAGACAACGGGCATTAATTTGTAGTACTGATTGCACGCCACTGCAGCTATCACTATGAATGTAGTAAACCATAGGGGCCGCGTGAGCTATTTATTGGATAACTTCAGGACTTCCATATTACGGTCCCCGTGTTTGAATTCCATGGTGGTGGCATTACATCCTCATTAAAATCCACCCATCCAGGGTCATCGTTGGGATCTTTGTATTCAACCCAAAATTGATTCTTCACGTCTCCCCATTCGTATTCGTCGCCACGGAGAACCCGGGGGTAAGCCCGCATTGGTTGGTAACAGGCTTTGTAGGCAGCACACGTTAGAAAATGCTCCGGTAGATCGGCCTCTCGATACGACCGATGATAGGCCCGCCTACTTGGTGGGTAATCCGCGTGTTCATCAGAGCTCATGGCCCTTGACCAGTCGTGATAGCAAGCCCAGCAATAAGTCCCTCGCTCCAAGGTTTTTGTGTCCTTATTCCAAAAAGGGAATGGAGCGGTAGCCATGAATTGTAACTGTTCGCAGCCGTTTTCATACCAAACACTCGCGCTCCGCTGATGTCCAAAACCCCGATATAGAGGCCCTGACAGATCCCATTCTCCGAAAGCCGCTCCTAAACCTTCAATGGTACGATGTACTTCACGTGTTATCTTCAATGATCCTTTGGGCCCGTGAAGTATGATAGCTATAGCGTTCCCCTGAGGGACGCTTACAAGACGGGCCCCGGATTTCCACGTATTGTGGACAATCGGAATATCCTCGAGATCTGTTTCTTTCAAACCGAAGTAAAAACAGAGATCCTTCACGCTGGCCATTCTGTACATTAGATTGTGATAATTACAATTGTAACAGCAACGGGTGAGCGTTGCAAGGTGAAGGTATGGTCCGAAGTCATTACAGGTTCGACACCGAGGGTGGGTGAACTCGGTATATAGCTGTTCAATGGTGAAATAGTGGGAGAGACGCATCCGGTGCATTAGATGCAATGTTTCATAGGCTTTGTCTCTAAGCAAGAGATACGGGCGGACTGATTCAACTTGGAATTTTGATACCGTATCCACTAGAAGCATCTTCCCTATGCTGGCCAAGTTGAGGTAGAGAAGTATATGCTGAATTATCTCAAACGGCAGGAAATGACCGAGGAATCGACTAGGATCAGCATTAGGTTCCCTGTTGCCCTTAGACAAGAGTGTAATCTCTCTCCGGTCCGGGAGATGTGGCTGTTCATAGTTGGGAAAATGGAAGACCTCGCTGATCGGGTTGTCGATCCGATAGGCAAAGCCGGATGCCATCGTGTAAGACGAGAGGGTTTTAGAAGTTATTGACTAGATTGAGAAAGTGAGTTAGATTATTTCCAAATGGCTAATCTGGTGTGATAGAGAACAGGTTCATACAGGTATTTGTTGAAGTCGACACGTAGGAGTCACAGTTGTATGTGATAGTAGGAGAGTTGAGGAATTCTCTGTATCACAACGTGAATGAGGTATTATACCCCGCATCGTCGCGGCAACACTATGATAGCACCAGTACGTGCAACTGCAAACAACAACTTGGGCCGAAATCCAATCTGTGGATTGACGACTCAGCACAATGCCGTAAATACTTCAACTCCCAATGAGCTACTGTGGACTGCAGATGGTATCATATACTACGAAGGTTGTTTATAAAGATCTTCGACATTTCCTGCCAACGTCTACAGTTAGTCCAATATATCGCTATTTGAAGATTGCTGCTAGCTGCATTGATACAGCCGCCGTTGGCCCGATTTCCTTGTGTAAGCTGATAGGGGAGGCTCAGATTGTTGTTAAAATGGACAATACGGGTATTGACCAAGATTCGTAGGCTTCTGTTCAACAAGATGCTCGCGAAGGCGCATTAGAGCTCAACCAGGTATGCTAGGTTGACGCCCTTACATTATTATTCAGATGTAGGATATTCTTCCAGTGATTCCATAATGTGGATTCCTCGAGTACACTCTTTACCGTTGCCCATCCTGATATCTAGCAGTAGTGCATCTCATATCATCCACTATCACTGTTCATCCTCATTGCACTAATGAGTTTGTCCTTCTTCCGGATGAAATAATTCTTCGACCGCTTTCTCAATCTATGGTTGTTAGGACTCGCTCACTCTGAAGTATAAATGAGATAACATACCGTATCGCACACCGTATTTATCTCGGAAAGATTGGTGGCACTTAATGAATTCTTGGTTTTGATGCGTCGTGCATATCGACTGACAATACGACACAGCCCCGGCAGGCCCTGTGTGCACTCGAACATCAGCTGACATGCATCACCTCTGCTGATCTTAATATTGACATCCCGCTCAAACAGAGCGGGATTGCGGAAGCACAGCTCTAGCGTCGCGATAGCCATGCTCTGGGGTACAGCGCAGAAATTAAAGATGCTCTGCTCATTCAACCCAGCCAGATAGACAAGACAGTCCTTGGCATGTTCTAGTGCGTTAAGAACCATCTCAGAACTGCAGTCTAAGGCCGCCTCACAATTTTCTGGCTTAAATAGATCTGCAAAGTCGCTGACGTACTTAGACCATATCTGTTTGGGCCAAAAGCAACGGTGGTCTCCGTGATCTTCACTGACGTCGCGGATGATGTTGGTCTTCTGGAGGAAGGCACCCATTGACCGGGATAACTTCGGGTAGTCGAGCAACGACGAGTTGCAAAGTTGCGCTTCGATGAAGGAGCGGGTAAGGCCCTCGCCGACACAGCCGGCAACATAATAGCAGTACAGATCATACTCGACTATAGTCATGACACCGGCTTTATCAGGATTGTTCAGGGTAACCTTGTGACAGAAGTCGGCCATTCCATTACCCATTACCCTGGTGATGTCCTTGATAATAAGTCTGCAGGCTGGCTTCAAAGCTTTGTACTCGTTGATAACGTGGTGGAAGTGAACAAGCAGTTCGCGGTCCTTCTCTTCGGGACGGTTGCCATCGTATGTCCACCCGTCCTTCACCAATACATCCTCGAAGCCGCGAAGCAAGGCAGCCTTAGCCTTCACAGAAATAGAAGGGTCGTCTTCTATGGTGTCGAGACCACGGAGGACCAGGTAGAAGATACAAATAGGGACGAGCAGTTCGGGGTGGAGCTCCTTGATAACGGCACTGAAGCTCCGGCCGGTCTGATCGAGGAACTTGAAACAGACCTTCCGGGATTCACTCTCATTCCCCAGATTCAATCGATAGATTTGATTGTGCTGGATTTTCCTATGACCGTAGCATGCCTCCCGTCAGCTATCAATAGTAGGTTAATGGGTGAGTGATAACCACCATTTCAGAATATCTCTCAATTGATATGGATGAAAGACGTAGTAGAGAGCGCTGCTGATATACTCCATTCTCATATGTGGATAAATAAGAGAAACACCTCTGGTAACGATGATACTCATGGTTTGGGCTCCGGGCCTTTTAAGGGTATAGAAAGTGGAAGCGGAGCGGAGCGGGATTCGCAACCCGCTATTTTAGTTGCCGAAGCGGATTTCGAATTTTCAACCTCCCGAAATCCGTCCGCTGGGGGGTTCAGCCAATTCCAGAGACACCATATTCGCGTTGCAGCCACGCCAGACCTCATATTGGACTATACAGCTTCACAATTATATCCATCTTCACAGCGCCCCATTGAATGGAAGATATAGCACATAATCGTGGAAAGGCGGCCCCATATGGCCGAGCGTGCGTCAGCTGTGCCCGCGTAAAACGCAAGTGCATACTGCGAGCCAATGGAGATGGATGTGAAAGGTAATTTTCGAAAATACTATTGGTGATGATTGGCTCATATTCATGGTCAGATGCTTTCGTCTAAAAGTAGAATGCAGACCTTCTCCTACCGTCCGCAGGCGTGGCTCCAAGCCCAACGGCTCTCAAGCCGCTCGTCTAGAGCAGAAATTAGATGGGCTCGTTTCATTATTAAAAGCTCGCCAGGGTAGCCCTGAGATCGGAGATACAGCATCATCATCCGCGTCCCTCACATCAGCTCTGTCTCACGCTTCAGTGCCTGCAGATCGTGGGTCCCATGCACAACCGCTTGTTGGTGATCTTGATAGAGTAGCTACAGATCATGGCAAGTCTCGCCATTGTTCATCACCAAGATCACCTCCTTCATCAGACAGCTCGTGTCTATTCCCATATAGTCTTCCGGCTGGCGTGGAGCCAACTTCTCGCAACGCAAAACAACGTTTGAGGACATTTTGCAACCACTACACCAAATTCCTCCCTCTTATATATCTCGAGAACGGTTTGACTTCGGAAAAGTTGTATCGAGAGTCACCATTCCTCTGGCTATGTATAATGGCTGTGACATCTACAAATGCCAGGGAACAGAGCAACCTGGGAAAGGCGGTTCGAGAGGTTGCCGCTCGTGAGGTAATTGTAGAAGGCAAGTGTACGACGGATCTATTATATGGTCTCCTCTGCTTCATCGGTTGGTCCGTTTTCTTCCCACACTTTGCTATCCGCATGACTGATAGTAATATATAGGGGACACTTTCGGTTCTCTATGGGATCACTTCTTACTATTTTGTCTCATCTGTGCACTGCTTTGACGGTAGATCTGGAACTTCGAAGTCGGCATTGTGGAGAGGGCAATTTGAGTCATATATTTCCGCGACCCATAGCAGCCCAAATCCAGGGAGCTACTGGGACATATCAACCGAGGGGTCTTGAAAATGCACGGACGGCATTAGCTTGCTACTTTCTCACTTCATGGTTAGCACTTCTTTGAAATATTTAGAATGCCGCTAATAGCACGATCAGTATTGCAGCATTCCAGACAGTCGGGGAGAACTTGGCCTGGTCACCATACATGGAAGAATGCTTGAAAATGATACAGGGTTTAAGGAATCTTCCTGGAGACGATCTTCTCGTGCAAATGATCAAGCTTCAACGCATAACGAGCAAGGTCACTGATCTCCGGATACAATTAAGAGATGCCGACTGCGAACAAAGTACGCGTCTTATCTCTCCATACATGTCTGCCCTCAGCACCCAGTTAGCGGAGACAAGGAAATCATTTCCACCACACCTGGCCACGGATAGTACGTTCAACCCACAAATAGCTGACAGAAATGCACGCTAACTCTAATTCGAATTCAATAGAGGTTCTTGAAGCAATGGCCCTGCACACAGAAATATGCATCAATGACCTTATCTTTATACGCCTCCGACAGACACCTCTTCTTGCTGATACCAGCAGCATGGAGGCTCTTCTCACTTGTCTCAATGCAGCGAAACGCGCAGTGGACATTATGTTTAACTTTAAACCAACAGACTACATATACTTCCCCTTCTTTCTCTGGAGGCAATTCCGAACAGTTATTCTCACGCTCATTCGACTCGCATCCCTCGAAGATCCGGCGTGGGATGTGAATATGGTTCGACGAACCGTAGATATTACGTCTATTCTCGACAGGACCGCCGAGAACCTGAGCAACGTACAACCCACCAGCGACGAGGGTGATGATCACGAAAACGTGGTTGCGAAATCATTAGCCTGGGTGAATAGGATGAGGACTTGCTTACTAGCTGTCTATGGCCAGTCAACAGACGCCCAGACCCCTACCTCTGGAGGGAACGGCTCAATGGGGATTCCAGGTGTGAAAACGTTGCTGTCAGGGCAGGCGGCCTGGGACGTGTCTCTGTTAAACGGAGGCTTGGGGATGGATATCTTCTCATCTTTTGAAGAAGATATCTTCGGGGAAGATATTTCTGGGTGGTGGCCACAGCTATATTCTGAAAACGGATTATAAAGATTCCTTGCTGTTCCATGAGGCTTTGTATGACTCCACGAGTGAATAAGAAATATATTCAATTGTTGTACAGGACTTTTCCTTCTATCCATCTTGTATTCATATCTTTCACCAGTCTATTTAACCTCAGCATAAACATCCAACGCATCATGCAACCTCCCAAAAACACCCCCATGCCACTCCCTCAACTGCTCCCACTCCGTCGACGGCAGCGTAACCCTCGACATCCTCAACCACCCTCCGACAATAAAATCCGCATGACTCGGCCTCTCCCCCAACAAAAACGGCCCACTGGGATCTCTCTCAAACATTCTCGCCAGATCCTTCAACATCTCCCGGAACGAAGCCAACACCTGCTCCCTCTTCTCCCCCTCAAGTGTAAAATCATCCCAAGACTTAAGCCCGGCCCGCCGGACAAACTCCGCCTTACTCTCCTCCGCCGTCTCCGGATCAAACGGCATCTTCTGCACCATCAACATGGTATGCACACTAAACGCCGCATCGACATTATTATTAAACCGGGCATAGTCCGCATATTCGATATCGTTCCTCTCCGATAGCGGTACCAGCACCTTCAGCTCCTCTTTCAATTCATAATCCAGGTTCTGCGGAGGGAAGAGATCCCCGCCACCGGAGGCGGGATAGGTCTTTTGTAGGTAGACAGCGATATCGAAAGAGTCGCCGATGAGGGAGTTCGTGGTGGGATCGGAGAGGATAGGGAGGGTGTAGAAGTCGCTGCCGTCGGCGAATTTGCGACATGCGGGGAGGTTCAGGCTGCGGCGCACTTTGGATACTTCAGGGAGCTTGACCCACGTTGTGGAGTAGGGGGCGTTTTTGAAATTCAGTGCGAGTCGCGCTTTCCAGGGATTTACGGCTGCGGCGTTGCGGGTTACTGGAGGTCGCATGGCGATGTCGTAGTAGGTCATTGTTGGAGTGGGGTTTGAGGTGGTGGTTGTGGTTGCCATTGTGGATGGTGGGGGGTTCATATAATGATTAGAGAGTTGAATTGGTATTAATTGTGAGTGGAATGAAGGTAATAATCGACAAGTGTGTGCAATTGAGCTCTTTGGATGGCGAGTTTAAGTGATATTCATGGCGATTGAGGTTGAGTTATATAGCTGGGCCTGGGAGGTAACGTCACGTGTAACATTAATCTCGGGTGGGGCAGGCTTCCCAAACCTGGGGTTCTTTAGGCGAGAGATGTCTGCTAAAGTGTACGGTTCTAGTCTTTCCATGGCTAATTCTGGAAACTGCAAGCTGTTTGGGCTGGAGAGTGGGCTGTGCAATGATCATGATTTGATGTTCTCATGTCGACTCAGAATGACTCATGCCCACTCATGCTGCCCAAGTGGGCCCATGTGGGGTCCTATCCCCACTACCCGATTGATCTGGAGATCATAAGAGGCATGCGGTCTTCTTCAACGTCATAGAGTTATGAAACCTCCTTTTATTGTACTATATTAGGTATGCTTATGCAGAACATATTCAAAGTTTGAATGGATCCTCATAAAGCACAGGCTGCAGATGGGGATTTCTTCTGCACTTTGCCGATCCAATTTTTCATCAATCCCTAGGGCCAATTTCAGTCTGTTGCTGCCAACATTATAATTTTGCAGACATAGCAAGTCCGAATCGAGCTTGGTAAACAAGCATTAAAAGAGGTGACTGAGCGTTTATTTGTTTGCTCCCTTCTAAAAATTTACAGAGTCTCAAGTATCCTTCGAACACCAGCAAAATCAAGTTCATCCATCGTCTCCTGCCACAGCTGTTCAATAGATTGTTTCCCCTCTGGAGTATACAATGACGCATTAAACCTGAACATACGTGTGTCAGCCATGACGTGAAAAATTCAAAGGAAAGTTGGGAATACTTACGGTTCAATCTTCCAACTCATAAGGAAGCACCCATGCGACTCCTTCCCCTTCAACACGGCAGCATCAATAAACGTCGATGCACCAACCTTGACTGTCCTCCCCGTCAAAACCCCAAACACCGCTAGCCCAGCCTTCGCAAGGCCAGGCGAATCCCGGCTCAGGTCAGTGCCCTTGACGAAGGCCGGATCTGCCAGGTTCACAATCACATCATCTGCACCGACATATTCAACCAACTTGTAGAGAAACGCATGAGCGAGAAGCTTCGACATGCAGTAAATGCCATTGGCATCATATGTATCTGGACGATCGAACAACTTCAGAAGTGGCGCATCCTTCACATTTGGTAAGCTTGGCAGGAGCGATAGTGCCGCGCTGACGATAGTTAATCGCCCTGGCACTCCTTTCGGAGATTTGTCCCTCAAGCTTGGAAGGAGGAGGATAGCGAGAAGCATGGTGGAGAGATAGTTGACTTGAATGGTTTCCTCGTGGCCGGTGCTTGGATTGGTGGTGAACTGGGCTTGTCTCACCCCAGCATTGAGGATAGCGATATCTAGGCGGGAAAGGTGGTTTTCGACCCGCTTTGCAAAGCTTTGTATGGAGTCATATGAGCTCATGTCAAGTGGCCAGACATCTATTGTTGACGTGGGATTAACGGCCCGAAGCTTGGCCGCTGCGGCTTCGCCCTTCTCGAGAGAGCGAACGGCGAGGATCAAGTGGCTAAGCTGAAGAGATAGAAGCTGAAATGCACACTCAAATCCCAGGCCAGTATTCCCTCCGGTGATTATGGCCACTTGACCAGAGAGATTTGTGGTTGCGGGTGGCCAATTGGGTTTGGCACAGAATTGGTTATAAAAGAAGACGTTGGGAAAGAAGGGAGCGGTCGAAGGAGGGAGGTCTTTTGACGCCATTGTGGGTAAGATAGTAATGTCAGAGAAAGACTTCAGATTCTCTGAATCGAAAGGTGTTATTTGTAAAGCAGAAGCAGGCTGTCTAGTTCTCTTAATACAAGTTCCTGATGATCCTATATATTACGGCTGTCAGCCACTAAGCCCAAAGCGGCACCCAATGTCCGCGGACTTAAGCCGGGTGTTTGCCGCGGTCGATCCATCCTTCACTTCGTCTTATTGTTGTGCTGGAGATATCCTATCCCCGCGTATATCATATATGGAAAGGCACATCTTAACTCCGATCCCAGTAATACTGTGTTGAGACTTGCGCTGTAGCCAGGGATCGCTTGATCCTTCGCCACCTCTGTCTACGTGGTCTCTGACCACCACCGCCTCCTACCTACCACCCAACCATCATCTTGAGATCTAGATTGATCAAATACATTCGAGTGTCGTCCTGCCCTCTGTCTGGAGAAGAAATTGCAACAATCAAGCTTAAGACTCATTGAGGGTGACTCGCCGCTGCCTTGGGGGCTTTCAACAAAGTATGGTAATCGATATCGCTGTTAAAGCTAGTGATCCCGGAGGCATCGTTGGAAGCGGCAGGATCCCTCCTGGAGAAACCGAACCACGTGCGCAACCCCGTAATAGTTGCTTGTGGAATGGACGGCAGTCCAAATTGACGTGTCCGAGTCTTGTTTTCCTCTGTTGGTGGCGCTTGTGCTGTGCCACTTGACGACCCCAAAACCGCGTCCTTGATCCGGGTAAAGTATCTCTTGAATGCGGTTGAAACCTCACTTGATCCGATCAAAGTGGACCGGTAGACGGTGATAGATCCCATGGTGACTCCGATACATCCCTCCAAATGCAGCCAGAATACCTGCCATGGGTAGTCGAGAAGCCCGTGATACCATGTGCCTGCAGTGCGAATGATGGAGCACGTGCACATGAAGATCGAGAGACACAGGAAGCATCCAAGTCCCAGTTTTGTCAAGGTTCGCAATTGGACCTTATAGAGCAACCGGATTGGAATACTAATTACTGGGCAAGGTCAGTTATAGCTAGTCTTTGTTTGGTTAGGTGACATACTCATCAGATCAGTGACCGCATCCAGAATTGGTGGAAGCCAAATCATTGCAAGAACCGTGCTGTTTGGGACTGGTAAAGTGGGAAAGCATTTGGCTTTACATAGTTAGTGGAGGAGCCTATCGCTGACCAGAGGTGCTTACAAATTGCCTTCATTCCTGTGTACGGGCAAGGAACGATCGGAGCGACGAAGGCGCTCAAGATCCACGAGATAACAGACAGCCCGACAGTGAAACGGTAATAAATAATAAACCAGCGTGACATTCCCACCAGGAGGGGCTGGAAGAATGCCAGGTAGCACCATTTGACAGCAAAAACTGTGGTCCAGAGAAGAACTATAAAGGCGATGTTGAAGCCATAGTCTTTGGCATGTTCATTTAAATGCGAGGCGAGAAAGAGGACTGCGCCAACATTTCCTTCCAATGCTGCCATCTGAAAGTAGATGGTGTATGCGCGGAGAAAGCCCAGTACTGTTCCTATCAACAGTGTGGTAAAAGCAAAGCTAAGGAAAGCATCGTCCAAATAGAGGCGTCGTCGAGTGAAGAGTCGGATGAAGATGCGACCAAAGAACGACAGTGATGCTAACGCAAAGAAAACGCCAACTGCTATCTGGTAATCATAGATCTTTCGTTAGAGTTATACTTTCGGATAATTATGCTTGGACTAGCCTTACGCCATATTGCCGCTGGGTAATCCGACCGATATCACCTATGGCCGGCGGGGTCTGAGAAGCTTGACTGGAAGTGATATTCAGCGCTGCGCTGTCCATCTTGCAGGTTTCCGGGATGAGTGAGGCATAGCCTTTAGAGGTGCAGGTGCAATTCTTGACGCACCTCACAGACGGGACCACCGCTTTATGTAGAGACGGGCTGTCAGACTCTGTGGTTGCACGAATTGTCTGGGTTGGATGTGCGGGGACTTGGGCGGCGCACTGGATCTCCTCCTACATAATTTATGCTGACTGCATTTGATCGACCTCAGGAAGTTGACAATGCCTCCCAGAAGAAGCAAGGGGCTCAAGTTGCCTTCAGATTCTTAGTCTCCCTTGGGAAACTCGGCCTCGATTCCCAGCCAGCGCTGAGGACTTTGAATGAGCGATATTGAAGTTGATAATGGGGTTGATAAATTTTGTTCCAGTTCTCAACAGTTTGGACGCGTGCTAGTCAACAGCCATGTAGCTCAGCCTCTTGCGCGTGCCTGCCATCAGTGGGTGGGAAGAGATATCCCTTCCGCGCCTGACTAGCGTCATCCCTGTCCAAGTATCATGACCACCAAAGACCTCCGTAGTTAACCAGACGATTTGATATATAAGTTCACTTGAAGGATAGCAGGAAATAGATTCCTGCTTATGTTCAAAGACCCTCTTCACCTCACTATCTATACAGTGTTTATCGGCATATCCCTCTTCACAAGCAGCGTCGCTCGGAGCTTTGAATAGTAACCGCCATGTCTTAACGTACAGCCTTAACAGTAGATTGGGGGCTCCGTTCAGATCTACATACTCGTCTCGACCAATGCCATCAATTTTGCTGCTTCGCCATATGCATCCACCACTGGAGGAGATCCACACGGGGCATCAAGCCGGAGGTGCTGAGTAAGGTCGAGGAACTGCGGCCGTGCTCTGGTATGATACAAGCAAGGGATAATGCAGCGAGACAACTGACAAGATGATTCTTTACATCATCAGTCACTATTTGTAGTGGGGAACTGCGCATTCGAGCAGACCAGCGGTGGTTTTGAATCGGGCTTATCTGGACATCATTCCAGACACAGCCTCTGGCTTATGCTGTGATATCCTCCGCAAGGGCTCTCAGGACACTTGAGGCTCCGCACGATGCTATTATAAGCATTGTTGTTGTCTGCACACCATACCAGCGACTGAGGCTGGGAAGATGTTGGAGTGTTACCCGGTTACCCTTTTAGGCAACTGCCCGCCTAATCTCACCGCCTCCTGCCCGAGATCCCCTCCAACACTCCATCACTAAAGTAAACAAACTGCTTCCTCCGTTTCTGCCTTGGTGGAAGCGAGGGACATCAAGTCTGCACCAATGGCTTTCATCAACCTGTTGCTGACCATTTGCTTACCGGTTGTTGTAAGCGCTGTCGCATATGGACTCCATGCGCTTTACCAACACCGGTCCAAAATCAACCAGCTCCGCAAACAAGGCATAGTAACTAGAAACTTCACCTTCACTGAGATGCTTGTGTGATTGACATTTTGTTTAGGCAATGCCACCAGGATGGAACTGGCTAACTGGTCACATGTTTGTCCTGTCGGGGTATCTCAACCGTTTGCCCCCCGATGCCAACGTTATACTTGCGACGCAAGAGTTGGCTTGGGAATACACCGACACAGAGATCTTCCTATTGGATGTCTGGCCCATGTCCCCCGCACAGTACATAGTGTTCTATCCGGAAGCAGCGTCACAGGTTACCACTAAATTTAACCTCCCCAAAACAGTTATACACGACCGGTTCATGCGACCGATCACAGGCGGGCCTAGTATGATTTCTGTAGGGAACGCTGAGTGGAAGCCTTGGAGATCAATCTTCAACCCGGGGTTCAGTGCAGGTAGCATGCAGGATCTTCTGCCTGAAGTTATCAAATCAGTTAGTGTCTTTTGCGATAAACTACGCGAAAAAGCCGATTCTGGAGAGATGTTTGCCTTGGATGATCTGACCACCAGATTAACTATGGATGTAATCCTCAAAGTGACCCTGTTAGTTTATCCTCCTGCAATTTCTGGGCCACCTGCTAACCTGAGCAGTGATGCCGACGTTGACCATCAAAATTCTGACAACGTCATTGCAACCGCTCTTGGTCAAATCACCAAATGGCATTCGTTCTGGGATCCCCGCGTACGGGCAAACCCACTACGCCCTTTAATTCAGGGATACTATGGCCGCGTCGCGGACAAATGGATTCGTAAAGCACTGAATGACCGATTTTCCGAGATCAAGCACGTAAAACGGGATGTATCAACCCGTTCCAAGCGTGCCAAATCGATCCTCACTCTAGCCTTGGAGGCATACCTAGAGAATAAGAATGAAGAGATCTCTGAGGCAACCGAGTTAGATGACGACTTTACAAAAAATGTAACATATCAGATTCGACTGTTCCTCTTCGCTGGAACTGATACCACGTCAAGCAGTATCGCCTATGTGTATCACCTCTTGTCCAAGCACCCTGAAGCTTTGACCCAAGTCCGGGAAGAACATGACCGCATATTCGGACCAGATCCTTCCGCTGCGGTGCAGCTACTCTGCGAACAGCCTTCACTGCTGAACAAATGTCCATATACCATGGCAGTCATCAAAGAAACTCTTCGGCTCTATACCCCCGCAAGTACTATGCGTCAAGGCATCGATGGTTTGTCACTGACCGATAGGCACGGCAATCGCTATCCCTTGGCGGATGATCTCAGCGTTTCCGTCTTACACCAGGCGGTACATCTCAACCCAAGGGTATGGCCACGAGCAAGAGAGTTCCTCCCCGAACGGTGGCTGGTGGATGCAGACCACGAACTATATCCCGATCCAGCCGCATATCGCCCGTTTGAGCAAGGGCCTCGCAACTGCATTGGTCAGACTCTTGTATACAACGAGATGCGGACAGTCCTAGTGATGACCGCCCGGACATTTGAGATCAAGCCAGCATACGATGAATGGGACGCAATGAAGGCGAAACAAAGGGGCTGGTTTGATCAGATTGCTGAATCTGTAGGGTTCCAGAACAAGAAGCCTAAGCTGTTACACGGAGAAAGAGCATATCAGTCTGAGAAAGCCGGCACTCATCCAGTGGACGGATATCCGTGCCGTATCAGCTTGGTGGCATAAATACAATAGCAGTCAAACATTACTTTTCCATGCAATCGAAATGCCTATAACCTGGAGCATTTTCCTCGAAAGATGTCGTCTCAGATAATGTTACTCACGCAGCCACATTAAAGTGCAGCCAGGAAGGCTTCGGAGCCCATATGCCAGGAATGTAACGAGACATAAGATCCAAGTGCCCCATTCGTCACAGTGTTTCAAATTAGAGACATTGGGCATAGGCAAAGTAGAACGTAATATTTACTGCAGATCCCAACTAGTATATGCCGCTTAACTACTAGTGCCGGGCTCAATAATGACCCAGTTACATCATCCAAGTAGCCCATGCAAGCAAGTTAGTTTCCCATGGCGTGATCACGCATTATTAATCCATGGATTTATAATCACGGCCAATGATCCCTGCAAGAAGAACAGCTATAAGGGAATTTTGACCGTGTCCAGCGTAAGCTTGGGCGTATAGCAATATAGTAAATGAATCGAGTTACTTCAGTTTATAACCCTAAAAATCAACAGGCAACTCTAAACAGCACCCTTCGCCACCAACTATATCCCCGCAAGCCCTAACCTCAATCATGACCACCCCCCAAACCCCAATTGACAACCCCCCGGCCAAAGGAATCTCCTACTACACACCAGCTCAAACCCCACCCGCAGGAACCCAACTAGAGGGCTCAACCAAGCTCTTCACCCCCATCACCATCCGCGCCCTCACCCTCCCAAACCGCCTCTTCCTCGCCCCTCTCTGCCAATACTCCGCAAAAGATGGCTACGCCACCGACTGGCATCTCACCCATCTAGGCGGGATCCTGCAACGCGGCCCCGGACTCGCAATCATGGAATCAACCGCAGTGCAGAAAGTAGGCCGAATCACGCCTCAAGATCTTGGGCTCTACGAAGACGGGCAGATCGAGCCTCTCAAGCGTATCACTGAATTCGCCCACAGTCAGAGCCAGAAGATTGCCATCCAATTAGCTCACGCCAGCCGTAAGGCTAGCGCAGTTGCTCCCTGGCTGAGCGCCAATGCAATGGCTGTGAAGGAGGTTGGTGGATGGCCGGATGAGATTGTAGGGCCTTCGGCGATTGCGCATGAAGAGGGGGTTAATTCAGTTCCTCGGGCTTTGAGTGAAGAGGAGGTTAAGGAACTGGTTAATGATTTCGGAGAGGCTGCTAAGCGGGCTGTCAGGGCGGGATTTGATGCGATCGAGGTTCATTCGGCGCATGGATACCTTCTGCATCAGTTTCTGAGTCCTGTTAGTAATCATCGAACAGATCGGTATGGAGGAAGCTTTGAGAATCGGATTAGGGTATTGCTGGAAGTGTGCGATGCCATCAGGGATGCAATCCCTGATACAATGCCTCTGCTTGTGCGAATCAGTGCGACGGACTGGTTTGAGTTTGACGAGGGTTTGAAGAAGGAATTTCCGGAGAGTTGGACGGTTGAGCAATCTGTTCGGCTTGCTCCTATTTTGGCTGATCATGGGGTCGATTTGATCGATGTCAGTTCAGGTGGGGTTCATTCCAAGTCTGCAATTGCTATTAGACCCGGTCCTGCGTATCAGGTGCATTTGGCGCATGAGGTCAAGCAAGCGGTTGGTGACAGGCTTCTGGTCACGGCTGTTGGAGGGATCAAGACGGGCAAGCTTGCTGAAGAGGTTGTGCAATCTGGTATTGATGCTGTGCTAGCTGGGCGCTGGTTTCAGCAGAATCCTGGGCTAGTTCGTGCCTTTGCAAATGAGTTGGGGGTGAAGGTGAGGATGGCGACGCAGATTGATTGGAGTTTTGAAGGTCGTGGCAAGGGAAGGAAGAACGGATCTTTGTAGAGTGTTAGTATAGAGTCATCACTGCGTCGTGGAAAATATCGGGGGGGCTTTTGGAAGATGTAATTGGTTGGGAATATTATGACAAATAGTTGTCGACCAAGGGCGATTCATAGCATCTATATATAGGGAGACGTTACCGCCACAACAGCCTCTGCTCATGTCACGCCCTCATTTTACCTGCCGCCTGCCCTATAAGGTAAGACCTTTTTTTTTGTCCTGGCAAAGACCTAATTCATATCTTCATAAACTAATTGATTGAACGAAGCTTTCTCATCATGCCTGAGGTAGCAGTGTGCTGCCTGAAGTAGGTTTTACTGGCCTCGGGCAGAGACATGAACAAATAGCAGGTGTTCAAGGTTTTGCTGGATTCAACTAAGGTAGGCAGAGGGATAGCATGAGCGGGGTTTGGTGTGGAGGCAGCTGTGGAGGTAGCGTCTACCTATCTATATAAATCAAGATACTACAGATTGCAACAACCCGACCTGGAGTCAACATCATCCCCTCCATCAACCAGAACACTCCGGTTGCTCTCCTGTGTCGACATTGCAACGTCAAGACCAGGATTACCGGTGAAGAAATTGACAGGTTTGAGACCAACAACCATCTTGTCCGACGGCATGACGGGCCAGTCTTCGATTCGGGGGTTGTGGGTCGATCCGAAAGTGTGCCAGATGACAATATCCTTATTCCGCACCGAGGAATGCTCAGTTTCAGCTCGCTTGGCAATAGCTGAAGCAATCCCATCACCGCCTAGTGACTGCATAGTGTGACGGCCTGATGGGAAGTGTTCTTCCTCAGTGTACCGCGTAACCCAGACGGCGTGCTGTCCGAACTCTGAGCGCCTGGCATGGTATGAATCCGGGTGTGCGAGCAGCATCTGACTATAGGCGGGAAGCAGCTTGAAGCCTACGGGTGTTCCGGTAACCGGATTGATGACATTCTCGTTAATGATTTTGAAGGTGCGGTTCTTGGTGAAATCAAGGTCCAAGCCGCCTTCTTTCTCCACGATGGAAGAGTGCGTGACGTACCCGACGCCGAAAGGATTGTTATATGTGTCAATCTGGGCTTGAGATTTACCGGTATGATCAAAGTCTCGTACGTCCACAGGTATGGCATGTGATTCTTCGACCTGTAAGGAATTGTCGTGGCCGTCGATTGCGGGATCCATGCGCAGGGAGAATAAATGCTGATGGTAGGGGGCTAGGACGCCGGGCGCGACAATGGTACCCCACGGCACTTTGTGGCCAATATCAATCGGAGCCGTCGAAAGGATTCCAGTAGCACGTACTTCGTAATGAATTGATGCATCCTGGCCGAACTGGAAAGCGAAGATGTACTCGTAATTGCTAACGGTGATGATGGTTTGCAGGACCAAGATCCGGGAGCGCGTCACCACCGCATTCCTGGTCCGGTAGTTTGTGTGTTTCCATAAAATGCCGTCATCTTCCTCATGACAGCAGATTACGTTCGGAAGCTTCAGTGGGTCTCCTGTAGTAGTCGTGTGCCAGCCATCAAAGTACTTGATATGACCGAGGCAGTCACAGCCCAGACGGAGGTTGTTGGCATTGATGCCCGCCCCGTCATTGCCAAGATCAAATGCCCCCTTGCGAGGGTAAGGAGCCCGAGGGTCGCCATACGGCACAAACATCTCTGCAAGGGACAAGCGGTAGAAGAGGCTTCGGCCATCGTAGCGAATGTCATGAAGAGTGAGACCTTCTCGGTAGTTGAAACCAATGTGCATGGACCATTTTTCCCATTCTAAATGGTTTCCATGAGTCTTGAATGAGGGACCCTCCGGCTGTACCACTTGGTATGGCTTTGTAGTTGTCCTTGCGGAAGCTCTCAGGCCAGGGCTGTATTCTATCTCCGCGCCGTGGATTTTGCGGCGATCGAATGGCTTTGGCTTGTCGTGAATGCGATCGTCTGGACCAGAAGGAAGTTGATACATCTTGGTGACTTTCAAGTCCTCTGATACCTCCGCGCAGAGATCGAGTGGATAGGCGTAGTAATTCGCATCGGCATCATCCACCAAGCGCATGTAAAACCAGCACTATGCATGATGTCAACATTTAGCCCCTACCTTTCGGTTATGATGATATATACTTACCATGGTAGTCCGTTGCGACATGTCCTTGGTGCCATCTGTGGCATATGCCCACGACTCCACAACAACAGTAGCACCATCCGGCAGTTGTAGGTGAGCAATTTCTTCCTGAACTTTTGGATCCGACATGCACGCCTTCTCAGCAGCTTTCATATAATCAGAGTCAATGTATGGATGCTTCCCGATCAGATGTTCCTTCTTAAGGATCGTAGAGTCCTCGAGGTCGACTAGGAGCTCAATGAATTGATTTGCGGAAGAGTCCCCGGGAAGGACTACTTGGACACGAGCAACTCTCGCAGGCCTTTTCGGTGCACTCTCTCCGTTATGAACTTGCTCCAAAAAGGGAACCATATCTGCCTTTGGGGGTTCCTTCAGAGTAATCACTCGAAAATTTGGGGTTTGTCCGGGAAATGCATGGCGTACAATAGCTGCAGCCTGGAAAATGAACTCTCAGAAGCAACCCTTAAGCATAATTTTGTTTTCATGCATACCTTTGCAATTTCTCTTGGAGTCAAAGGGTCAAAGGGGTGGGGAACCGACATCGCTAAGGGTGAATTGGTAACGATCTTGAATTGAGGGGTCGGAAATTTTTAGATGGGAACAAGACGTGTGAGATATAGTCTCACTTAAATAACTTAGCGAGTCAATCCTGCAACAACATGGGTGGTGATAAGCGGAGAGAGTCTTGGAATGTCCCGAAGCATTCCCCAAAGGTTAGGTTTAGGCGATGCTGCTCCTCCGTGACATCAAGTTCCGCCTCCCGCTTCCGTGAAGGTAAGGATTAACCGGGCAGGGCCGACCGACTCTCGCACCGACCTTCCGGAAGGACACTAACAGTAAGTTTAGGCGCGGCGTGCGTCCAGATATGCTGCCACGGCCGCTAAAGTATAAGAGTAGCCGAGTCGTCTCGACCGGCTTCTTATCTTCAGCTTTCCGTGCGGGGTTGGTTCGATAAAGTACTATTGTTAGTCAATGCCATATAACAGCCAGGACAGTCCCAGGATCGCAGCCAAAATTGCGATGTATCAGTAATATCGTGGTCGAGATCGCTCAGACTAATATAAGCGTTCTTCCTGAAGCGCTTTTGCTACGGGACCACGCTCAGAAACAACATAAATTCGCTTTAAAGCATGATATCAAGGCTCTTATCACATAAGATTCTCTTCCAGGGATATTGCAAGCGACGGTTCTGGATACAAGACCCCTCCAACTTGTCTAGTAACAACATAATGGTTCGACTACCTCTGGAGCGTCTTTCCCAATATTACTCTTGAAATGACAACGGTTTGAAAAGACTGGGAATCAAAGACACTGTAAGATGCTTACATTACTTTGAAAGATACTTAAGTCTATCTTAGCTTCACCCGAAGTCTACTTGTCACCGACCCTACGTAGAAGGGTGGACTCATCGCCAGTGCCCCTGGTCCTCGTCTCCGCCGCCACCGACCGCATAACGCATGAAGCAGTTTCCCAAGCCAAAGGAATGCGAGCACCCTCATGGCACATCAAATTTCTCTCCTGATATCACCCAGTCCGATTTGTTTCTCCCAAGATATCTTGATTGAACGAAGGGTCGAGCCTAATTTCTGGCTCCGGATGAATTGGCGGTAGTATTGAAGGCGGTTGACGGATCGGCGACGAAGAGATTTGCGGCTGATGGCTGAGAGGGGAATTGTCGGCCGTCTCTGGCTTGCCCCCGAGACTTTATCATTTCCCAGATTTGGCGAATGAATGTATAGATGGACAGGATAAGAATTATGACAAGTATAACTGCAGCTGCTTCCGTAAACTCATTCCAAGACAATATTACAGACAGATGTATTAGAAGACCAGTGGGAGGTGGTGAGAGATGAAAGCTAGGAGAAATTAGCACAGGGGGTAAGGAAACTTATAGCACAGTGATACAATCATTCGGGAAGGCGTATTTGGGTCAGCTCTTTCAGAGGTGGGCTATATACGGAAGCTAGTTTACTACTGGTTTGGCAACAATGTATGGCAGAGGAAAGTATCATGAACTAATGTAGTGTACCCAGTAGATACAACGTCGGGGGAGCAAAACATTAAGTAGTGCTTTCAAGCGTGGAAGGAGCATATGACGGTAGAAATGAGGTAGGTTGTGACAGCGATGTGGGTGAGTAACCTTATGTGGCATGTTGTTGAGATACATTATCTAGAGGCATAACCTGCACAGAAAAGGATTATGACCGAGAGAAGCGCGAACGGAACAAAATCACTTCGAAATAACGCAATGCAATAAAAGCGGGTTTCCTATGCTTCTCTGCTTATGCCCATTCTCAAGGTGGTGCTGCGTGTTGCACTCCAGACCCCATACTCGAATTACGGATTCATTGGGGGTACTTCAGCCGCGGCTTTATTCAGCGCCTCCACTTGCTTTTTTCAATCTCCATGTCTGTGAACTCATCAGATGGGCCATTTTGGTGGCTGAGGAATGAGTGCTGATGACGTACCTCGTAGTGCAAGTACGCAATTTAGATGAGCATGAAGAGCGGGCATAAGTTCTTTGAGAACTTCCCAATCACCCATGTTGAGTTTTGAAAATCGCGTGATGAACGAGGAGAAATATGGGATGTGTGTCTCGCTTCTGCCACTTGTGGTGGGAAATAGGAAGTCCGTTGACAACAGATGAAGTTATGGCTTTGAAGTCAGGTTGCTGGTTCAGAGGGTGGAAATGTTATTGTTCCACAGGAGTATGGGTCCTGCCACATGCAGTGTAGGCGTCCACCTACCGTCACAATGACAGGATGCCTTGTGAATGTACTACATACAGATTTGGTTAACTACTAGGTTCGCGACAATTACTTAGTTCTATCTAGACGGCAAAGCCCCAATTGTGTCTGGGCTTCTCAAAGGCGCGTCATCAAGACGGCACGAACTTGACTGATGAGGCCCGCAGTTTCTCTTTCTATCTTTGTCCGCATTTGTATACCGAGAAAGTAATAGTAAGCCATTTAGGATGCTTCCGTTGGGCATTTAAATGACAAGAGAATTGTTCATTGTCGATCATAGATTTCTCGGAGGAAGCAAATCCAGCAAGACCCTGGGGGGAGGGGCATCAGCCTATAATGAAGACAGTGATTCGTCATTGGTGAACTTCAATCTAAGCACATTATTTCCTTTGCATATACGTACTGCTTGGTATGTAGCTACTTTGGTGAATTCCCGTCTTATAGACTGTAAAAGGCACCAACAGGAAGAACAGATGCAAGCGTGTAAACAGTAATTTATATTGATACTGTGACTCATGCAAGCACCTACTAGTACCTCTAATGGGCTGAATATATACTAATTATGGGGATCTCTCGCACCTGGTCATATCTAAGTTCTCCTTGGCTTGATCCCCATCACGATTAGTCTCGATAGCTCTGAGATCTGAACATAGTACGCAGGCACTCTAGCCATCTGTCACACTCGCCCTTCCGTTACCTCCCCTGCACGCCACGAAGTGTATGATATTTACGGACACTATTAACCGTCTTTCAATATAGGTTTGGGCAGGTAAAATGTGAGGGGAGAAATACCCCGCTTGCTGCTAATGTCACCGGCTGAATCCCGAATATGTCTATCAGCACATCACCGCCAATCAGCCCAAGCTCAGAAACATTTCACTCCGCGGGCCAGCATCATGCGTTGGCAATTTTCTTTTCAACGTCCTCACATACAAGTGACTGGGTAGTTAATAATAGTATGCCCCGCACAATTCAGCCAACAACGATAGGCATCGGAGCAACCCCAGTATGTTATATTCCCATGCCCGTCAAAAGCATCCGACTTGCTGGACGACGCGATGGTTTATCCGCGCGAGTGCCCCGTTGACATATATTTTTACTTGGCTTCATCCCAAGTATTCCATTATCTTAACAGCATCCATGATACTACATCCGATACACCATCTAACCCGCAAGACAAATACCAATTTGTGGAATGTATGAGCTCACCACAGGGGGATCTGTGCCGATATGTAGGCCGCTCATTCTGGGCTCTTGCATCGGATGAAGTGAGAGATGGCGATGTGCTGCTGTAGACGCAACAGCGGCAACTACTTACTGTGTCAGGAAGACCACGGCCGCAACTCAGGGGAGTGGGCTGGCATGATGGAAAGTATGTCTTCGTAGAAAGTGTGCGATGTGCCACTGCAATCTTCCCTACCCAGAATAAAGCTCCTTGCCTCTTTTTTCACATCCCTACACTGCTAGATACCTATGAGGTTGGGACGAAAATTCTCCCTATGTCTTCAAGAGCCGGCCAATGTAGCGTTTCAAACTCTGCGATGCCTACAAGCCTCTCAAGCTTGCTATGCGCATGATATTTTGCAGTCACCAATCAGAGCTCTTGATAAGCTCAGCCGCAATCTTTACTTTAACATTCGAAAATTAGCATTTTGATTCGTAAGAAAACTGGCATGCATCGAGTCTTTCAGCCAAGAAGCATTGCGTGATGCGTTTCTTCTGCGGGATTTACACATTGGACGCTGAATTGGAACACTATTATCCATCCGCCTAGTGCTTACTTCCGTCTTATAACCAGTCTCTAACGACTGTCAGCAGCTGCATGTGAATATATTTCAGAATTATGATTTCATACCCACTAGTCAAGTCTGTTTTGAACACTAGCTGCTTACAGGCTGTTTACTTCCATCCTTGGTTCCCGCCCCTATTCAGATTACTATTATACTTGTCTCCTCATTAGTATGCCACATATAACTAACAGACCAAATGCCAGCATGTCCTCATGATACCTCTTTCGCACACCTTTCTATTATCAAGCTAGTAAGCCGAGCACAAGGACACTTCACCATCATGACCTCGACTGGACTCCTTTCCGATTCTTCCATCCAAAAAGGGTACGTACACACTTTTTCATTCGCTCCATCCCATGCAATATTTCTAATCAAGACGTCACAGCTTCAATGGAGCAATCATAACTCAGGAGCGGTACATCCCACCCTACGTCTTCGCCTTCGAAATCACCTTCCACCTCGACAAGTGGCCTTCATTCCTTAAGAATATCAAGCCCCCAAAACATTTTCATCCACATCAGGAAGAGTATATAGAAGTCCTGGAAGGAGAGCTGTGCGTGGATGTTGGGAATCAACAGTACACACTGACCTCCCAGAGTGGGCGATTCTGCATTCGTCCATGGGTGAATCATCGGTTGTATCCGCCTCCGTTTCCTCCACAGCAACAGTCACTCCTTGAGAGTAGCCATGACGACGAGACGATCGGAGGTGGTGGGATAATACGATTTATGTTATCCGGGCAAGATACTCCCGAAACATTCAAGCTTGATATGCTCTTTTTCATGAACTGGTACGGATATCAGGAGGAAACTGTAGTTGTGGGGAAGAGCGTCGATATTCTGCAGGTTATGTCGGTGAGTGTGTTCCCTCAGATGTGCCCTTTTATTGAGGTTGTGCTATCCTTTGGCTAACTGTGTCGATTCTTTCTATACTGGCAGATGTTCGATGCTGGGGGCTCCTATCTATCTCTACCGGAGTGGGTGCCCTTCGGATCTGTTATAGCCGTGGGGATGGGGATTACCCTCGGCCGTTGGCTGGGAGGTTTACTTGGGTATCAGCCTTACCATCGCAAATGGACCCGGGACAGTGATTGGCATCTGGCGTGCGATCGGATGAATAAATCTCTATTCCAAAGGCGGTTTGCTACGAAGGAGAAGAAGAGGGATTGAATATGATGTGTGACAATGTATGTACTATATACTTTACTTATTCAAGGAGCAAATTCATCACTTGATATCATACTTTTATCGTGATAGATGTACCTTAAAAAGGTGTGTTTTGTTTCATTGCATTTGTAATTAGTCATTTCAAAGAGTCACGTAATTCAGAGATATTGCACCTACACCGATTCTTTGGGGAGTAACATGGGATTAGTTATAACTAGGCTCAGCAAAGACATTCTACCCAGCCAAGAGAGCCCGAGGCTATCGCCTTAACGACTTTCCGGCATCGAGTCTCCCTTATTTGGCTGAAGCATACTTCAACTTCTCTCAGACTTTCTAATCGTGCCAAGTGTTAGTCTACTCGACCTGACGAATAAGAACCCAGAAGAATACCCTACACACGATCCTCCCGCTCCACATGTCTAATCACTCCAAAGCAAGACCCTATCCTCACTAGAACAAGGTCCAGTGGGGGAGTGGAGAAACCGCAAGATACGGGTTAATCTCATCGACCCCATTCGTCTGATCGACTAGACCTCCCCACTGATTTGCGACATCACTGCTAGGGAGCATATTCAACAATGAATTTAGACTAAGAAAGGTCGGAAAAGGTCCTCCGGCAGCACACAACCCTTAAACGGCCCCCACCCGAACCCTTTTCTTCATTGGCATCTGCGGCTTTGACACCGGATATACCGGAAGAAGACACGGCAATGGGCAAGATGACATGCGGTGGCTTTATGGTGGCACGTGAACTTCCAGCTGATTATTACGATGCTGGATCTACGGCTAAAGATGATGAGCCACGAGATAAAATCTAGATAGCTAATGAAACAAGCGCACAGGTAAATTGGCGCTCCAGGGATTACTGGAACCAGACAAAGGGGGAATAGAAAGTGCGACACCAATTCAAGAGGTAGGTACACCTTGAGCATTCCACCAACGTGATTTTACAAAGTGGGTTTTCCATCTTGGCGTGGAGGATGATTCAGGCAGCTATTGCTGTCAAGCCAAGATAGAGGTGCCGCAAGGCTGAGCAAATCTGGAACTTTTTCATGGCATGCCGAGGCACATGTATGATTGGGGTCAAGTCTAGTCTGAGGGGCTCCGAATAAGCAGCACATAACGCAACACTCACAAGATCCCCGTGCATCCTTTCGCTAGCGCTCGGATGGACGTCCCAGAACAGCTAACGGCGCAAAGACCCCTCATCATAATGCACCAGAAAGTGAGGGAGTATGATCTGTGGGTCTTTTCTATCTCAGTGGCTGGCTAAAGCAGAGAAACGATGACCGCTGCAGCCCAGCTGGTGGCAGAAGCCGTCACACGACACATGGACCGTAAGAGCGTTGCCTCATTACGAACGATTATGGTAAGATACATGGAAAGACTGGGGCTTCAAAGCTCGACATAGTATTACAAAGGAAGCCTGATCTTCAGATGCCATCTCTGCCTATTCCTATGTTGTATCGTTGAACGTTACAAAACAGGAACCAAGACCACCCACAACTTATACCATTGTACCCATTATCTAACTGTACTAGAGTCATTCAAGTGTACAGACGAAATGATGCCTGCTCTTGGCGGCCCGCACCGAACATGCATCGGACCCTGAGCGGGATTTACATCAACATTACAGGAAGCTAAAATCTGACCTGTATGGAATATTCCACCAGCAGCCCGACCATGATAGTCCCTCCAGTCCACCAGAAGCCGTTGCTAAACCACCACCAACAGCTCCGACTATCCTGCAGATCTACACACCACACCATCAGACCGAGAGACAAACTGGCCCCGCCCACGGTAAATAGGTGATACGATGTCCCCAGCCCACTCGCTCGGCCAGCTTCCACCAGAAGGCCGGTCATAAGCAGCAGGACGGGCCACAACACCGCTTTGGTACGATCTTGCAACAGCACTGCTAAACTCTTGATACCAACTTTCAGATCGGCTTGGAGGTCCTGATGTGCGTAAATGGTGTCATAGATGAGGACCCACAAAGCAGTTCCCGTTACGAGGAAGATGGCCGAAGCGTCGACAGTGACACCGGCTGCGTCCGGGAAGTAAGCTAAGGGCTGCACTCCCATAGCCAGCTCCCCCATGACCACACCCCATGCGAGGCAAAACCCGAGTACGAGCTGTGGGAACCGAGTATGCCGCTTAGCGAACGGGTAGTAGGTCGTACTGATGATGTTAGGTAAGGCGTATAAACCGGAAGTCCATAGTCCTAACGGCATGCATGCGAGAAAGATGACAGAACTTAGCACCTGTGTGGCGCCGAAGAGAATGGCTGCTTTAGGTGTGATGGAACCACGAGGAATGGGTCTTTTGCGGGTCCGTTCCACTTGGGCGTCCAAGGGTGCGTCGATCAAATCATTCCATGTGTGAGCTGCGTTGGAGAAGAAGAAGCAACCCCCAAAAATTGTAATGCTGGTTCGCAGGACGTACCCCGCTGGTGCCTGGGTTTCTATTGCCGCATGCAGGATGCCAAAAGCATGCGGGAAGAAAATGAGCAGAAGAGCGGCTGGAGGCCAAAGGCGAACCAGCTGTAGATATGGCAACCAAGCGGACGGGAATACTTGTAGGACGCCAGACTTGTCATTGCCTCCGTACTGAGCCTCCACCGTAGGTGGTGTCATCGGTGACATAGACTTTGACTGATCCTTAGCTGTTTGCTTTTTGCCTTGGGTCTTTCGGTGCATCCCAAGCGGACTTGACTGTCGTAAAGGTGTAGAAGATTCCGACATGATTGGTAGAACCTTAGAGAACTTGAAGTGTGCGAGAGTCCTTCGAAGTGATGTTCGTCTGACGTGTAGTAATAACCGAAATGAATAGGCTTCCTGTATCGAGCGAGAGGCAAACTATATACACCTGATATAGTGGAGATATCGTGACTGATTGTATTCCAGTTCGAAGAGTCCAACAGGCAGGCGCCGCATGCCAGCTTATATAGCTTTAGTGCTCTCTCGATGGACGCTTATGCTGAAGTAAAGACTCGCCTTACCTACGCTGGCTCTTGTAGTCCTACACTACCGGTAAGCCTTCCTCGCGTAATGCTTGAAAAGCATGTGAAGTATCAATTTTCGCCCTTCCCTCGTCGCACCGAAGTAGATACTGTGTGGATCCACTATGAACCGACAAAGCCTATACTGTGAAGCTGACATTTGTCGCACCTTACATTGTACTCAGCCCCATCCCTGTTCCACCGTATTCCTGCACTTCTGTTCCAAGTGGAATTGTACTCAGCCAAGAAATATTAGCCCACAGTGTGAACCCGTGTATGCATTTGAGTGGCATGTCTCTGTCCTTGGATCTTACTGCATTGACGGGGATAGCGGGTTGCGTTAAAGACGTTGAAGCTGGGGGCCTAATCGTTGAGTGTGAATCGCATTGACCCTGTGTTCGTTTGGTACTTTTGCTAATTCTTACCTGCTCATGGGCTAGCTTGGATTCGCAGGTTATAATGCGTGAAATTCATATTTTATGGTCATCTCTTGAATGTTTGATTTTCATCACCGGTAGCCTGTCAAGAGACTCGTCTTTGTCTTGCCTATCTATGCAGTTATATCATGAAACCTGCTACTATATATATTTCCAGTAGTATCTAGTCGCATTGTGTGAAACGACAGGGGAAGGCGGCGTGTGTGGATAAGCAAGTAGGTAAGTTAGTGTGAACTCGTTCTTTTCCATAGAGAGTGTGTGAGAGACCCGGTTGATGAAGTGCCCTTTTTCCCCACGGCAGAAATGAGATTTTCTCTGGCTTCTATATATCAACGGGCTGAAGATGGGACGTTGAGCGTCAGGCTTCATCTTTATAGATTACCGTTGCTCTCGTCAAGTCCGAGAGCGGAGGAAGATCGCCTTTGTATTTGTATGGGAGGAGCTTGGTGTCTTGGGAAATTCGCTGAATTCTGCTGTATGTATTCCTACCCATGCTTGACTTAGGCTTTATTGGGGGCTTAGTACGAATAGGAGTCCTAGCAGTGCTTCTAGATGATGGAACAAGCGCCCATACAGGCGCAAAGCCCATCACTCCTAAACAGGAAAAGGTAAGACTGAGGCTGGTTCGATGATCATTCCATTTGATAATCAGGGAGATACTGTAGAATTGTTCAAAAATCAAATCCCCATGATGCCACGATACTGCAACGAGTACACGCCATCGGGCAAACCAGAATCTGTAAACCCTTGTCCGCCAATTCCTCATCCAGAAGACCCTACGGAGAGCTGGGCCTTTCTTTCTCATTATACCACACCCAAAATTCCATTGGAAGTGCTGCAGAGTCAGGCTCTTGGGAGGGATTAGCAAATCTCCTCCGGCTTGCTAACCGTACGAATGGAAGCGGTGGTGACATCTCATTCCAGATTCTGTCTCATGAAGGTAAGTGACTAATACAGGCAAGTTGGAAGGTTATAAGGCTATAAGTTAAAGGTTGGCTACCATTTCTCGAGGTTGTTATTGCTCGAAAGTGGGGGGAATATCATCTATGATTGCCTTTTGAGGAAAGAGGAAGGTGGGGGTCGATGGACAAGACACATCTTGAGAAAGGCTCGTCCAATAATTATAGATGATATGAGATGGAAAATGCCACTTCGTTAACGATTCAGAAGTATTTAACAGTTATGGAGTACTTTCACGTCAGAGTCGGAGCCTGTCCAGAAGAGTGGTAACATCCACGGCGTAAGATACTGTAACAATGTCAACATCACTATACAGCCTCCCAGCCTCCATATTTTATTCGGCTTGCCCACAACAATGCAGCAACCCAGCTTCGCATTAGCTTACAGACCGTTAAGTGGCCCTACTACCCAACAAGGTGACTTACGCGAACTATTTCACACCACTTTCCATGGTAGTTACACTAATTCTTTATGACTTTGCTTCGTTCCACCAGTAGAAGACCAACGTTCTCCCCTCCCAAACGATTACTTCCCTGAACTAACCGCCAAACTATTATCGTCCCAACCTCCAGAAATTTCGAAGCCCTAAGAAGTATGTCGCGGCCATGCTACAATGCGCAGTACTCAACCCCGCTCAATTTAAACACAGCAGTCCATTTGTTCTACCGAGACGAGTTCAGCGTATCAACGGTGCCTACTCCTGGCCCACATATTCCAAATTCGCAAAAAGACTTGTCACAACGAGCCGTGCTACTCCTTTTGTGAAGACACCCGGCAGGGAATGCTGCAGGCCCTCAAGGATTATCGCAATGGTTCAAGTGTGATGAAGTCCTCGCTAGGCGCAGCGCTTGCTACGATGCACTCTCCATGACTACGGACGAATTAGCCGGTCGACAAAAAGATTTCCTTGAACTGTGCCATTCTCCTTTGCGACGATCGCGCTGAAGCAACACCACAGCGGGCTTCTTATCACTTCCCATGTCGGATGTCCCTATCGTGCGTTTCTGGAGCGATGAGAATCACGAACATTTTCATGTGGACTCCTCGGGTGGAGTTGGTGCAAGATGCGGGGTGTGCGTCTGGGTGGAGGTCAATCAGCTCGTCCCATAAACAGCAACGGCACCTCTCGCCTTAATTGATCCTAGCACCATGTCTCGGGCAGATCACGGCCTAGCTGCATAGCTAAACTACGTCGCAATTTTAGCTGGCTTTTCTCTATCCAATCTCCCGAGCCGGTATCTGCCTGCAGCTGTCTTGGGGAAAGATTTAAGACGAAAGATGCGTGACGACCCAGCCCAATTTTGAGTAATATTCCTCACCCTTGACTTTCACTTTCATCCTGATTGACTATTCATGATCTACTATTGTTTATTGCACAATGGCATCTCAAGCAGTAACCGGTCTTTCTGAGCATTCTTTTCATCTCAATGTTACCTTCGTCTCGGTGACCGGGTTTATGACCTTACTATCGACATGCTTGGTGGCTCTGCGTTTCATCTCACGCTCTCTTACGCTCTCCATTAAGTTGGATGACTGGTTCTGCCTTCTTGCTCTAATCTTTTCCTATGGGCTCCTATGCACCACCGCTCTTGTCACAACGGTGGGGCATGCGGGCATCCACATCACGCAGTACAAGGACCCCCTTGTGCTAGAAAGATACTTCCAGGTACGCACGTAACGCATGGTAGAGGAATGTACCATCAGCTAAGATCCAGTAATTCTTTGGTCCAGATCACATTGGCCGATATGGTAATCTACAACGTCAGTGTTGGGTTAACCAAAATCTCGATTTTGCTGTTCTATCGACGAATTTTCTTCATCAACAAGACTTTCCTATTTTGCAACTGGGTGGTCACCGGCCTCTCCGCAGGGGCCTGTATAGCTGCAGTCTCTGGGCTCATCTTCTCCTCCGACCCTGTAGATGCACAGTGGAAATTCTGGGAGCCCAGCACGACAATCCATAACAAGAGCTTCTGGATTGCTATGGGTGCAGTCAACATCCTTCTTGATGTAACTATTCTGATACTGCCACAACCGGTGGTCTGGCGGTTGAAGCAGACACGCCGGTGTCGCATTATGCTTTCGCTGGTCTTCAGTTTGGGTGGCTTGTGAGTTGGTCGATCAATTCACCTATTCCACAAGACTAATAATAGCTCCTCCCTCAGCGTCTGCGTGACCAGTATTGTACGGCTGGTGTATATGGCCACGATTGATGTAACCGATCTAACATGTACGTGCTCCCCCTCGTTCTTTGGAAGACCATCCACACTAACCACACCTCTTTTCCGTCAAGACACCTTCACCGTCCCCGGCATCTGGACCACGGTTGAAACAAACATGAGCATCATTTGTGCCTGTCTCCCGATGATTCCAAGCTTGTTCAAGCACATCCGTGAATCTCGATCGACTAAGGGGGCGAGCACAGGCTGGTGTGGCATTACACGCCTCCGCCCCTTTCACAGTTGGAAGTCCGGCTTTGGTATTCTTGGCTCAGTTCGATACCACGCAGTCGGCTCAAGACAGGAACTCTACAATGACGTCGAAGCGGCAAGCCCCAAGAGGGCTAGCAATTATTGGGGTGATGTGGCCCAAGTTCATGCCTACACGAAACTGTGGGGGAGTTAGGATCCTGCAAACCAACTTTTTCCCATTATTGGATTCATGATGCCCACGGATGTACGGCATATGCTTGGGGAAGACAGATAGGAGCCAGTTGGGGAAGGAATTATGCTGATACTTTTTGCATAAGATGGCGAAGAGGACAAAGAAAGGTCCAACATTCCAAATGCCGTATGGCCAGCCTATTGCTTTCGCGTAAGTTGGATTACTCCATAGACTCACTAGTCTCTTTCAGGTCAGCAAAGAGCATTCTCGTATGACATTCATCTACTCCGTACACGGTACAGGTTAATTCAGTTAAGGATGCCTGTTTGACCTTGGAATTTTCCTAGCCTGCAAATTACTATATATGAAATGGAATCAACCGCAAATGCAAGCTGAATCACATCTCATCAATGTCACAAGTTCACAACCACTGCTATCACTCCAGTTGGGCCGCGCTACGGCTCCGGCTCCTGCCGAATCTTCCCGCGGCCCCCATACGCTCTGCCATCCCACGCTTAGTACTCTGTGTATTGTTTAGTATCATGATGTACGAACTATGCTAACATAGTCGTGAAATTGTATGATTCTTGAGCTCAATGCCATGAAAACTAGTACCTAATGTGTCTTTTCGCAGCAATTTCTTGGATCCTAGATGCAACCCGCTGCCCCCAGCCACACTAAATAGCCCCCACTCCGCCCCAGCAACCCATGGTCTAGCTATCAGGCCATTGAACCCAACAGCCTGCACACACCCGAAAAACTGGAGTTCGCTCTTTGAAGTTGAAGGCCAATAACTTTGAGCAATTCGCACAGCAAGTTCCTTTGACCAAGCCGGTCATGCAGACCCTCAGTCAGCTGGTACTAGCGATCGACACATAATGAGGCCTGTTTTGCTTCGATCACCAAGGTATGTGGCGGCGGATGTATGAAGTTGGACTCGATTACCCATTTACAGTAAATGTAGATGAAACCCCGCAAGTCTGCTAATGAATAATATCTTATGAAAGCTATTCTCACATACCAGAGCACAACGAATGGCAGGCCTGAAGACATGCAGACAAATGACTAGCAGCCTACTTCATCAGAACCACTTTAGGGTTCTGCGCAACTACTCCAATGGCCAGATATATATTGACCTACTCAAACCAATGTTGATCTGCGTCTTCCACATACACCTTTGGAGGTTCATTTCTTCCATCAATAAAGACAGAACCCCTATCAGGCTGATTGTGGCCGCCCTCTTCAAACACATATGAGATAACCTTAGGCTTCGCGATAACTCCCAACGTACTCGAAAGGACGGACTCAAAGATCGTGTTGTATTGCGAGAAGGGTGTATGGCTCGGAGAGAATCGGCAAACTATCGCCGCCCTTTTCTCGTCTGGGTCCAGAAAGAACCCTTTCTTTTTGTTTTAAAGGTTCAAGAAGTCGATCATTTTCCTCCAGACATGTGCTAGGCCAGAATTAGGTTCGTCCACGCTATAGGTGGGCAGAGGAACGTTAGCTAAAATGGCACCTTTGGTAGAAACGAGTACAACAGCAGAACCGCCATTCAAGCCCCTTGTGCCAATTGTTCTTATTGGCTGTCCACTCGTGAACGAGACAAAATCGACTGCGCCAACGGGCACTTCCATTGCCTCGTTGGATTGCAATGCATCCTCGAAGAGGGATGCGTTGGAAATGGTGGGAAAGGGCATTCTGAGGGAATTGCTGGCCTGGATCGAAAGCACGACTGACTATAAGACAGAGCAACTCAAGTCTGGTTTATCGAAGAGTTTAGAAAGACGCGCGCGCAGCTTCGCAGGTCCCTTCCTTCACCAGCGTATTTACATTTAATTTACCTTCCATTCTAGAAGCAACTATATATATGCAAACTTCAACCTGGGTGGGCTTTTCGGACTCAGTCTAAGATTAGCAGGGACTATACATAGATATACCCAAAAGCAGGTGGAAGAAGCCGTTGCACATTACATCTACCTTCGTGATTTGTGCAGAAATGAAGAAACTAAACGTGAAACAAATATCTTCTTTTAATTTCACGGATGTGATGCGCCTGAGTTAGCCAAACGAGACCAAGATTATTAAAGAAGTACTTATTCATACTTGGTTGAAGGTATACAATATTTACGTTACGGAATAAATATCTCAGCCCCGGCTGGTTTGCTCTCAGGAATTTGTACAATATCCCGAAGGCATACTTGCACCGCTGTCTATTCTGGTTCTTGTATCATACAATCTATAGGAACTTTCCTTGCCATGACTGGGATCTTTTTGATCCCTTTAGCAGGTAGTGATATAGTCAAATATTTTCGTCAGGAATTAACAAGGGATATAGCCTTTCTGTCTCTATATATAAGTTACCGTTTCCAGCATGTGTACAACAGAATGCGGGAGCTCCCAGGTCCAAAGCAAATGTTTGGAAGCTGAATCACCCTGAGAAATCTGCCTGTTTCGTCTATGCTTCACTTCCGATTTGATCCATGTAGAAGTTTATTTAGGAAATAACCGTTGATATGTAAATGACCATCTCAATGACGTGACCATTCTGCTAAACCAAGGGACATTGGTGAAGATTGAACAGATCACCATTTTCCCACGATCAAGAAATCATTCATTACTTAAATTCTAATCTGATTAAGGCTAGGATATGCATCGGCTACTCATATTCAGGATTGACGGACGTAAGATTGGAACAAAGTTATCCATATGAATGACATGGAACACGTAGGTTGTTGTCGGGGAATAAGGGATAGATTCCGCTGCATAACTCAAAGATCATTATAGTGGTCTCAACAAACACTCAGGATGGGAGTTGAGATACTCTACTTCTATAATGTACCCCAACAACGATTAGAAGATTATTCCGCAGAGGCTACAAGCTTGAAAATTGCGTAAGTCGGGTTTTAGCGAACTTGATCTGCTTCATATCCCGGTCAATCGTAGCTTACACAGTCGATGAAATTTCCAATGTCTTCAAGGTTGACTTTGAGCACACTTACACGATATGAAGAACTTCTGGTAATCCAAGTGGTGGCTATATCTTAACTGAAGGTGCTCCTATGCTGGCGGGAACATGCGGGCTGCGGGGAGAGCTTGAGGCGGGGAAAGGAATGAGAGCCGGGGAACGGCAAGGTTCATTCATTTCTCTTCTTTCAATCTTGTGTCTCTTCCTACATCCACCCCCACAAAGTTGCTGCTTGTACAGGCTCCAACATATAAGTCAACCTGAGCATATGGTCTTTTGTCTTCTGGAGAGGTCGTTATCACTGGTCGCAACAGATGACTGGACCAAGAAAGGGAGGAAAGCGGCGCAGAACATGTATGTTCCAGGCTGCTGTGTTCATCTGAACGAACAAAGCTAATCAACTAGCAGGATGGTAATATACCACTGATCTTCAGTTATATTGTAAGATATGGACTGAATAGACATGTCACAGCACTCGTTGCAGATCCAGCCATACAAAATGTGATGAAAACGTCCTCGCTGCGGGCGCTGTCAGAGACTCGAGCTTGAGTGCCAGCCATCTGACTTCATTATCCCCTCGAACTGGAACTCCTCATCCTCTCGGGCACAAACTATAGACCAGGGAGCTCCTTTCCCGGCCTCCACCTGGGACGTATTCAATAATACTTCTACATCATTGGGCAATGCACTCACACCCATCCAACCCATCCCCTCTACTAAATCACCATCACCTCCAACTCTCGATGCAGAAAAGGTAGCACTACTCCAAGAATACCAAAACGGAGTAGGAACATGGGTAAGTCTATTCGACAGCCCTCGCCATCTCACGCACACCATTGTCAAACGTGCCCTTGGATCCCCACTACTTCTAAACGCGATATGCGCCCTCACCGCCAGACAAATGAGCATAGCGGGTAGAGGCGACATGTGGAAAACCACCGCCGTTCATTACTACGGAGAGAGCCTCCATCATTTGATTCATACGTTGAATGGCCCATCATATGGTTCTGATGATACCCTCGCTGCAACGGTTCTACTGAGTAGCTACGAGCTGTTTACATCTCCAGGTCTAGATCATCATCGCCATGTATCGGGTGCTGTGACTCTGATCAGGACTAATCCACATAATGCTAGCTCTGGAGGCTTGAAGGCTGCAGCTTTCTGGGTGTATGCGCGGCAGGATGTTGCCATGGCCTTGGTACATGAGTGTCCTACTATGCTTTTGCCGGATGAGTGGGGGGTGGAGTGGACTGATCAAGAGATGGATGAGGATTATTTAGAAAATAAGATTATTTGGATTGTGGCTAAGGTTATAGCGCATACGTTTGGGGGGTTAGTGGTGTTACCGAGCACTCGCTGCACCGTGATAGATTGCGATTGGTTGAAGAGTTAGAGACCTGGAGGGGGTCGTTGCCTACATCATTTGCTGGTATACCTTTTGGTGATTCTTCTGAAGAAGAATTTATCAAGCTGTTATTTGCAATTCCGTCGACAGGTGAGTTTATATTCATGGTATTACCGATTCAGTTAAGTAATTATCTAGCGGCCGTGATGTGCATGTATCACTTAGCACATCTGCTATTACTCACGGAAGGACGCAATTCATCCCTTGCGGGTGAGATTTCACAGGTAATCATCGCAAATACCTTGTGTATAACTCTCTGGCGAATACTGACACAGAATAGGATGAAGTGGATAAACATGCACGATCTGTGGCAAGTATAGCTTCATTATCTATATCGGATGCTTCACTTGTGCAAGCAGCGCAGCCATTATATTACTGTGAGTCAGAACTTATCACCCATAGATGGAGACTAATAGTTACGATAGCAGCAAAACACATATCCACTATTGCTGAGAAGTTTCGAATGTGGACACTATTAGACGGCATTGAAAACCGGCTCGGATTCCATACCGGTCATCGCATCAAGCAGCTGCAACAACAATTTAAGTTGATTTGAGCTAAACCTCCACCAAATAAACTTGTTCCTTAAAACCAGTGCGATCTCAGATATAAGCGCAATTATAAGATATCACATCAAACAATTATTCATCCCTCCTCCAAATCCTCACCGGCATCCGCCCCGGCCACAAATTAAACGCCTCCTCCCACTCCAACATCCAATCCTTGGACGGCAACGCAAACTCATAACAATGAACCAACATAGCAACCAGGATCTGCTGTTCAATGAACGTGATATTCCGTCTAATACAAGCCCGCGCACCACTACTAAAGGAAATGAAAACAGCCCGCATATTTCTAACCTTTTCATCATCTTCCAACCACCTTTCAGGCCGAAAGGTTTCAGGATCTGGAAAGATCTCTGGATCTCGATGAACAGCGTATGTGGGAACACTAACGGTAAAGTTACCCGGGATTCTTTCCCCCAGGACATACATGCCTTCGGATAGTGTCTTTCTTTCCAGTCCCCTCAGGACGGGAGGTGATAGACGCAGCGACTCTTCCAGATATGCTTTCAGGTAAGGTAGATTCCTGACTTTGGCATATGGTGCCTACTCCATTCTCAAGTATAGCGCCGGAAACTTCCTCTCTGAGCTTTATCAGTGATTGCGGGTTCTTGATAAGATAGTACATGACGTTCGTCAAGGCGATAGCTGTTGTATCAGATCCTGCATCCACTGCACATTGTCAGCATATCATATATATATAACCCAGACATCATAACTCGAAAGCAAAACTCACACAAAAGCCCCGCCTCAGCCTCAATCTCTCCCCTCTCCAACCCCCTCCCCACCCCTCTCTTATCCTCGATCAAACACCCCAGAAAATCACTCAACTTCTCCCCACCCTCCTGAACACTCACCCTCTGCTCCACCAACCTCCTCACAACCCTCCCAAACCTCCGTCCACACTCCCACTGCTCCCTCAAATACGGTGAAACCACCCTAGAAACCCCCCTCAAGAACCCAACCCACCCACTCGCCCCAATAACCCACGACGAGACCTGATTCCCCCGATGCAAGCACTCAATATACCTAACAACCTCCCCATCCACATCCACCTCATCCGACCCCCTATCCAGTAGTCCCAGCTTAACACTCAACCCTATATCAGCAATCGCATCAATAGTGAACAGGTTCAACCAGAATCTCAAATCAACTTCATCCCCATCCATCACCCCATTCGAAGATGATGAACACCGCCCATCCAACTGCCGCAATAACCTCTCCACCTTATCAACAATCTTAAACTCCCAATTTTCGAGATTCTTCGTGGAGAACGCATTCGCGAGCATTCGCCGCTTTCGGGAGTGGTCGTCGCGGGAGATGGTGTTCAGCATGTTGGAGTGGGTGTGGGTTCCTTTGGTCAGTGCGTAGACGTCGTCTTTCAGGCATGGTGTGCCGTGGCCGTAGATGGCTGGGATGGCTTTGGGATCTGCGATGGAGAGGGCGGTGGGTGAGAGGCGGATTATGGGGTGGTTGTGCTGGTGGTGGAAGTTATAGAGGCGTTGGGTGCGGAAGGGGTGGCGGTGTTCGTAGGTGTAGGAGAGGGTGGTGAGGTTGGAGAGGGGGTTTAGAGGGGGGTATTTGGTTAGGGTCTTGGTGGTGAAGTATGTGAGGAGGGTTTTGATGAGGAGGGTGAGGATAATGAGGGTGAGGGTGAGGAGGAGGGCCATGGTTGGTGGGGATGGTTTAGTTTTAATTTCTTGAAGAGAGTGATCAATGAGTGTATTCTGGAGTATTTCTGTTGTATTAATATCTCCTTCATGAAGTCTCTTTCCTGAGTATTAGCTACCTATTTATCTATCAATGAATATTGCGAGACTGCGCAGCTAATCATATTACCCAAAAGGGTATGTTAAGAGCGGAGAAGCTAGGTCTGCAGCGGATGTTGTGCAGATTGAGCGGAAGACATTCCTTTTTGGGAAGTATAAGAGCACATGTGCTTCCATTTTAACAATAAGTACGACCTTATGCGGGCACGCGATACAACAGTACACTTAGGTTCAGATAACATGCGTGATATTGTTTTGTCAGTTTGGAGCATCACTTATACACAAACGCTCATATACAGTCATGCTACCCAAAAATCATCAATCTAAACATTATCTTGAATGCAACACCAGAACGCTATGCAACACACCCCATATTTACTCTACGACAAATCCACCACATCATCCTTCCCCTCCTCCCCCTTGGCAGCCTCAATCTTCACCCACCCGAACAAAATCGTCAACGCAATGCCAGCACACGCAACCCCCAACCAAAAAGCAGCCTTATACCCCTCCCTCTGGCCCTCCACCATCTCAGCAACAAAATCCCCCCACCCAACAAAGAAACTCACGCCCAAGAACAACACACTATTCGCCACCGCGGCCGCCAACCCCTGCTGCTTCTCAGGCAACGTGGTGGTAAGGAACACATTGGTGATATTATACGTGATATCCACGCCCACGGTACCACAAATCATTGCAGGGAAAATATACGCCCAGTAACTCACCCCTTCCTTGGGAAGAATAGCGAAGAGGAGCGGCGCCATGACCCATCCTATGCCCGAGAGGATGAGGAGGATAGTCCCCGGGACGATGTGGAGGATTGTACCGCCGACGAAGCTGAGGACAATGCCTCCCAGCGCGAAGGGGAGGTACCATACTACCACCATTAGGGGGGGAATGTGCAGGATGTTTTGCATGTAGGTTACCGTGTAGAGGAGCCAGATGCCGAAGGTGCCGTAAAAGAGGAAGAGGGCGATGAGGAGGGCGGGGAGGTGAGGGACGCGGAAGAGGGTTAGCGGGAGGATTGGGGTTGGGGTTGCGTTTTGGCTGTCGTCTGTGTCGGAGGAGGCTGAGGTGAGGCGGTATTCTGTGTAGATTGCCCCTGCGAGGAGGATACAGCCGATCACCAAGGTCACGGGGATGTATGGTGTGCGCCAACCGTTGGGTGCGTGGCCGCAGTCGTTAACGGCGAAGAAGATCAGGATGAGGCTGGAGATGAAGAGGGTGGCGCCGAGGTAGTCAATCTTGAGGGTTGGGTTGGGTCGTTGTGTGCGGATCGGAGTGGGGATGAAGATTAGGGCGGCTACGAGGGTAATGAGGATCAGGATGGCGCCGATCCAGAAGTACCAGCGCCAGGTGAGGAGTTGGTCGGCGATTCCGGAGACGAGGATGCCTGCGGAGAAACCTACTGGGGCGCAGCCGCCGTAGATGCTAAAGACGATGTTCTTGCGGGGACCCGGAGGGTAGATCGAACCCAGCAGCATGATGCCTGCGGAGAGGATGGCGGCGGGACCGAAGCCTTGCAGGGCACGGCAGAAATTGAGCATGATTTCGTTTTGGGAGAACCCTGCTATGAGCGTCCAGACGAGATGCCATGTTAGGCCGGAGGTGAAGACCACGAAGCCGCCGTATTTGTCGGCCAGCTGCCCGAAGAGGAGAAGGGAGCTGCCAGCGGTGAGAGCGAAGGCGCTGGAGGGCCAGCCGGTGGATGCGGCGGGGATATTCAGGCTTTGAGAGACAGATGGGATGAGGACGTTGAAGCCGGAGATGAAGAATTCCTACCATAATGTGAGATGAGCTGAAGACTGGGCGGGATAGTTGATACGGACTTACCGACATGATCTGGGACAACAAAAGGGCCACGCAGAATCCGATCTCAATGACCAGGTTAGGGAAGATGCGTTGGCGCTGTCGACCCTGACGATCGACATCTTGAGGTCGCTGGTTCTCAGGACACTGTTCTTTCATGATCCGTTGTTGATTCACACTCAGCAGCCATGCTAGCTCTGCTCTGAGCGAGCTCGAGACATGGGTATAAATATGCGCATCGCAAAAAGCAGACTTCCCAAACAAGGCACTAAATTGAGTTAACAGGTTGATTCATAAGCAGCTACATTTTGTCTCCAGCTGGAAAATTAAGCACCAATCCGAATGGAACCCATCTTATAAATGAAAAAGGCGACATGGAAGTTCCTGGGGAGTCGGTCGAGTATCAAATCCACTCAGCCAATAATGCATTAGTTGCCGTCTGGATTATCCACTGTATTCTGATATTCGACGAATCGGGTCTACCAAAGTTCTTGGCCACCACGCTAGTTGCAAGTCCTCCAGACAACTTCCTATTTCGGATAGCAGCCCTAACCGGCATCTACTTTTAGGTCGTCATGGAGTTTGTCACTTTGCTGCAGAATTTCTAGATCAGGCACCTACGAGAGGATATCTAGAGAGCTGAAATTAGACAATAACTGTGATCATCAAGATTACGACCATGGCAGCATCATACCAATAATGAGCTGCAAGACATGTCATTTTTTACAAACACGCCTCGGTACTCCGATCTTTCACCGGATTACTCACCTACAAATGACAACAAAGGAGGAAAAGAGTATAGACAACAGAAGCTCTCTAATCATAACTACAAAAGCAAAAAGAAAAAAAGAGAATGGATGAGCCCAGCCCGGCTCGATCGGACAACCTTACGATCTGGAGTCGCTGCAGAAGATGTTAGAAGATGTCGGGAATCCAGTATTGGAATGGTATAACTTACTACGCGCTACCAATTGCGCCATAGGCCCATTCAGGTGACGAACGGGTCGTGGATAGGCAACAGGAGCTCCTTAATAATAGCTACCAGAAAGGGAAAAAAAAGAATGGATGAGCCCAGCCCGACTCGATCGGACAACCTTACGATCTGGAGTCGCTGCGGAAGATGTTAGAAGATGTTGGGAATCCAAATATTGGATCAGGATAACTTACTACGCGCTACCAATTGCGCCATAGGCCCATTCTGGTGACAAATAGGTCGTTTTTGTGCTACATGTTCCGGGGATATACTAGCACACGAAAATCTCGTTGATGCATATGTAATTTTAATGGCAGCACCTGATCAAAGTATGACTAGATTACCACGTGGGAGAAAATATACCTGAGATCCTGTCTGTGTTGGTCGTGCAACCGATTACAAATCTGCATGCACTGTTATATCACTCTTGTATACTCTGGAAGCCTACACAGGGTAAGGTATTGTACCTGACCGACGTTCACAGCTAAGACCTGGATCTGAAACAAAAGGGCAGTATGGATTCGCAACTCCACCATCGGATAATGCAAAAGAAGAATGATAGATATAAGCCGTGGAGTATACCTACAAACTAGATATCAATGAATCAATGGAACCATTCAGTTAAATAAATCCATTCCTACCCCCCGAAATATTCAAAATGAGAAAAAGCAAAAAAAGATGGTATGAGCCCAGCCCGGCTCGATCGGACAACCTTACGATCTGGAGTCGCTGATGAAACTGTTAGATGCTGATGTAATCCAGAATTGGATTTTCAAGGTGAACTTACTACGCGCTACCAATTGCGCCATAGGCCCATAGGTGAGGAACTTTTTCTGAGTTTGAGGTTATGACGGCTGCTGATAGTATATAGATAATGTATTGTAATTGTTACTTTGCATATTACATGTTTCTGTATTTGTTCATGGAGCGTTATGTATGCATGAGAAGGTCTGAAATCAATGATCTACTAGATATGAATAATGATATGGAGGACCAAGCTATTGAATGTTAATGGTGGATATACTCTGTGTATGCGGTCTCAGTTATAGGTACTCTGGGAGGGTCCGTTTGATCCGATCTATACATTCCATCGATTGTAGGATAGTGGAGTAGACAGTGTGAAGCGTGTTCGTAACTCAGCTTATTCTAATATTACTCATATCAGGACCAATGGTCTGTACTGCGAGTAGAACAATTTTACATATATCTACTTCACTTATGTCGGTGAGTCCTGTCATCCACAGCTCGCAACGGAGAACTCCATCCAGTGCCGGCATGCATTCAAGATCCATAGACCTCCTACTCTAATAGTATAATCACAATTATTACTACGTATGAAAGACCTCATGGCAAAATACAAGATGAAACCGATCAACATTCCCAGAATTAGTTATCCATTCCATCCCACACTGGTCCATAACATGTAATACATGCAGTATACCCCGCACACGACACCACAACCCGATCACTCCCAATAAAACTAATACATCCAAACAACCTTTATCCTGGATACTGACCACAGTATAACAAATCCCAAGTGACATCCAAAAAACATTTATATCTTTGTACACCCTCAAAGCATACAAACATATCCATCTGAACCCCACCACCAGCTACTCGGCTGAGTATGTGGGGCAATGAGGGTTAAAAAAAAAGCAAAAAAGATAATGAGCCCAGCCCGGCTCGATCGGACAACCTTACGATCTGGAGTCGCTATTTCAATCTGTTAGAAGGATGTTTTTTGCAATCTGTTGGAATGCAAGTGGAACTTACTACGCGCTACCAATTGCGCCATAGGCCCATCGTTGGTGCTTTGCTTTTTCTCAATCTGTTGAATGAGTGGGGTTCTTTGAGTGGTAGATCTTCGACCGGTTTTGCTGTATCTCGTTTTGTGTCTTTGGGTTCGTATATACTTGGTGTATGGTCTTCGGTTTATGAAATTATGGGTTAAGGAATGTATTATCATCATACTTAGTAGATTATTAGGATGTAAATCTATGGGGTTTGTGTTCGTCTTGCTTAAAGTTGGGGTATCCTTCTACAGCTCGCATATATATTACGACCTACCCTTCAAGACATACACTGAACGAAATCAGCAGAACTGCTATATACACTCCATTAATATATGCCCGGGTAATTCTAATCCCCGTCATGATACATGTCTATCGTGATTCATTAGTCATACACATGGCCTCGGCCTGTCTACTCCCAAGCGCCAACATACACTCTACTGCCAGCAAGCCATCAATTCCCGTTGCCCAGGATCAGGGCCCGCGCCTGTTGAGGGTCCGTTCCGAGGACGGTGATGAGGTATTCGATGCTGCTGCTGTTAGCTAGTGACCTTTCATGAATGTATGGTATGTCTCACCTCGCTTCTGATGCAAGTCGGCGCTTCTCGTTCTGGAACTCCTGCTGACATGACTCCCAGGTCCCCGCTCGCTCGGTCGGTAGCACTGTCTTGACGCGCAGCTTGAATGTAGCGCTCACTGGTCGATGGTCGGATGCGCGGACTTCGTGTCGGCGGTACTCTAGTTGCCGGACGCGGCCCAGTCCGCGATAGAGAACTCGGTCACACCACGCTGGAGCGCGCTTCTTGTCGCTGGAGTCATACTCATCGGTGCCGACGTCATATTTGTATGTTGGTGCGAACGTAATGGGTGCCTCGTTGAAGGAACGCAGACGGAAGCCTGGGTTCTTGCGTCGCGAGGCGAGCAACTGGTCGCGTTCCAGTAGCTTGGTCAGGTTGTTGCTGCGGATGTCGTCGATGATTACATTCCGCGGAATGGAGTCGATACGGTAGTTGAGATCACCGTTTAGAATACAGATCTCGTGGTCCATGATCATTGAGCCATCGCCACCGCTCACGTAGTGATTCGCTCGAGTTGCGAGACTATTCTCAGCAGGAAGTGACTCCGCCTCAAGAATAGCTGCGATATCATTGTTGCGGTGTGCCGTCTGCGTCTGACCAGCTGCCAAGTGGCAATTGATAAAGCAAAGGGAGCTGTCATCGAGGACAAAGCGCAGTAAAAGTGCACCCTACAGCAATCAGCAACTGACAGCAACCAGAATCACCAGTGGGCCTACCTTATTCCCATGCAAGCCTCCCATACCGCGCTTGATCTCTGAAGCACCAATATTCTTGATCCGCTGCCGCTCCTTGTGCTTCACGAACACACATGTAAAGAGACCGATCAGATTCGCGCTATGCAGCAGGACATACGACTCCTCAAGCGGCATGCAGTCATTGATGCAGCGGGTCAAATGCTCCATCCAGACCCGGTACTGACGGCTCATATGCTCTTTATCACCGTGCTCCTTCTTCTTGCTACCGAGGAGCAGACTCTCTGGATGGAATTAGCCATGGTCAAACAAAGTCAACGGTATACGTACTGGCTGTGATCTTCTTATTCTCAAGATCCACCAGCTCCTGAAATCCAAACACCAAAATCTCTGGCGGATTCTCGGGATGGATCGCATCCTGGATGAAAGTGGATGTGCGCACGCTTCCAGGGGTAGAAGCACCCGCGTTCCAGGTCATGATTACCGCCTGAATCTCACGGAACTTGCAAAACTCCACGTCTCTGGCCTGCATCCTCGTTTCTGACGGGCTGTTAGCTCACATCAGTCGGAAAATAAGAAAGCTACTTACCCAACCAGTCATCTTCCAACATGCCGTCCCAGAGACGGATGCAATTGTCGTCTCCCAGCGAAGTCACCTGCAGTCGGTTCATCGTCCACACGCTGCTAGAATCAAGTAAGAACCCACTGACAGGGCTATCATGAGCACGCCAATCCTTCTTCACCGTCCACGGATTCGTAGACGTATCGTAGACGTAGATCATGCCAGTCTTGTATGCTGCCCACAGGTAGTCTCCCACAATACCCAAGCAGTTGATCTTATAGACACTGACATTGACAACAGAAAGACACGTGTAGTCGTGGGCCGAGTATACCGTCACCTTTCCATCTGCATGACCCAAGTACACACGACCACCGTCCTTGGTGGTATAGGCACCTGACGTTACATCCCCCGTATGCTGCAAGCCCAATGGCCTGCTGAGAACCTTGAAGGAAACATCATCGCGAGCATTTGGCTGATAAACGTGCACTTCCTTGCCGGAAGCCAGCCACAAAAGGTCACCAACCACCATTGAAAACGTATGCCCGCGGGCAACGCGATCGTAGGGGTTGTGGTAACTGTACTGGAGGTTCGGAGTTCCAGTCTCGTCTGGCGGCCATACCAGCAGCCGACCCTCATCGTCGAGGGTCCACATTTCCTTCTTATGCCGCAAGATCTTGACAATCTCCCGTCGAGAGGGGTAAGATCGTGATGCGACGATGGACCGGGTTGCAATGTCAACCTCGTGAAGATCCCCGGAATTTGTGCCCAACCATAAGCGCTGACCTTCATCCTCCAAACCCAAACCTGGCTTGAAGGCAACCGACAGACACTTGACTGTCTCCCCGTGGCTGAGGCTCATGATTTGCTCTCCGGTCGTAAGATCCCAGACCCGCGTGATGTAGCCAGTTGTGCACACATGCTTCCCACATACATCCATGAGTCGCGTATCATACCGCGTGTGGATCTCCTGAGGCCCAGACTTCAGCAGCGGTGGCCGTCTGTTTGCACTGGACGCATCTGGATAATCCGTGCGAGCAACTGGAGTCTCATCCGGAACCTGTTCATCCTCACTAGGAATAGGGCGAACTGCTTGACGTTCCACCACGGTCCGCTCTGGCATGGGCCGCTCCGGGACAGCCGGGGGCGGCACTGGCCTAGTCTCCCTGGAAATAGACGGCTGCCGAGAGACGTGCGTCGGGGTTGGTAGCTCGTCTCGATAAACGGGCCGAGTTTCCCTAGAAATCGATGGCTGCCGAGAGACCTGCGTCGGGGTGGGTAGCTCGTCACGATAAAGGGGCCGAGATTCGCGGTAGGGTGTTGGGGGAGGTAGCGAGAACGCAGGGCTTTCCACCTGGTACGAATGCCGCGACGGTGATGGACCACCCCTTCGCGCCAGGGACGGCTGTCGTGGGGGCAGTCCGGGGCGCTCCTGAGGATCATGCGTCGGGGGCCTGTAGTTGGAGAGCGGTGCGGTTGCGAGCGGCTCCGGTGCTACGTAATGCCTGGGAGGGATCTGGACCATAAGCGGCTTCGTCTCACGGGGAGGCTCCGGGATTGGCCGCCTCACGGAGGGCTCTCGATGTACACCTGGCTGAGGAGCGGGTGACCTCTCCTCAAGTGACCGGTGAGTCGGAATGCCAGGTACTGGACGGGCTGGCGAACGCCGGGAGGGCGAGCGCGGAATTGGCACCGCTCTGGTATTGGGTTGTTGTTTTGGTGACGTTTTCTCGGGACTGCTCGGAGGAGTGCTGAATGGCGATACGCGATCTTCCGAGGACGCACGCTCAAGCTGTGGAGCAAGAGTGTTGGCTTCGTGGTGCGACAATGCCGCCGGTTTGGCGGGGATCTTAGGCTTCTCCGCCCGGTTAGCAGGCGGGGGAAGGGAGACGCTCTTGCCTTTGCGTTCCGATGGACTCTCGCGGCCATTTACCACGGAGCCTGATGTGCCTGGCGACAAACGATCCGCTTTACTCTCGGTAGGGAAAGACGAAGAGACGGGGGTTGTTGGTCGGCGAGCGGGAGGAATCCCTTGCGGTATGGTAGGCAGCGATTCCCGGGAAGCGTTCGGCGGGGTGCGAGACGAGCGGATATCCTCCTCATGGTCTGCTCCAAACCCGCGCGGCGGAGACCGTGGTGAATCGACGGTTAGAGTCGGTGCCAACTGCGGCGACGAGTGGAGGTTCATCGACATGGGCCTGTTCTGCCGCCTGCCCGGGGAAATCCCGGGGGATTCAGAGTGCGGGGCTAGACCATTACCGTGTACGATGCTGTGACTTCTCTCTACATCAGGCACCGAGCCCCAGGGAGACCGTGGACGTGGTAGGTCAAGAGAGGCTCTGTTGGAGCGGACATCGTCACCGTAATCGGGAGTTCTGAGAAAGGACGGCGTATCGCGTGAACCGTTTGTGGCAGCGGATGGAGCCCGACGATGCGAGAGATTTTCGAAATGCGAAAGCAGGGAAGACACCGGTCTCTACGGAAGCCAGCATATTAGTATGAAGCTCCAGAACAGCGGGGGTGATTGCTGGCGCAAACGTACAATCGGAGCACTATCCGTGGCGTCCTTTTGCTTGCCGTTTCCCTCCATGGCCACAACAGCGAATCCAACAGACAGGCCGAGTAAAGGAATGGATCATAGGCTCCGCCAATTGCGATAAATGCAGACGACCACCGCAGAGAGGCCAAAGAGTGGCACAGTAAATTTAATGACCAGGCTGGATAAGATAACGGGTGGCAGGAAGTGAGCCGGGAGTGACGATTGTGGCGGAGTTCCAGTTTAGGCGGAAGGAATTAAGGAGCAGGAAAGACAACAAGTCGCCGTGCAGCGGTAGGAATGGTCTGGAACGGGGTATCCTATTCTGCGGAGGACGTGGAGTATGGCCCGGACGATACCAGGTGGGAATCTCAGCGATGGGAGGAATTGAGCAGTGAATGTGTGGAGAGAGAGGGGGGGAAGGACGGAGGAAGGGAGGGATCCAAAGAGTGGGGAGGACGAGGGAGAGAGCAGTAGAAGGAAGACAAGAAGAGGATGGGCGGGAAAAGAGAGGAATCACCGAGGGGAAGGAGATGAAGTCACCCAAACCGACAAGAGGAAGTTGAGGAGTAAGTAGTAGGGAAGGTAAAGGAAAGGGGAGAGAGGAAGAGAAAGAGAGGAACTCAGCGAGGCGAGGCGATGATCGACCCGCGCGTGATATGCATTGATGGAGGGAGAGGAATGAATGAATGGATGGATCCATCCATCAATCGTTCTTTATTTTTAGCCTCCGCGACCTGAACCACTGCATACTTTACTCCAACTTTCCCACTTTCACCCCCTCCATTTAAGACATCTTTGTGTTCTTTCAGACTTGTCTATAATTACCTCTCTCACTCTATATCCCAGCCCAGTGTATAAACTTTAGAAATGTGGTATGAAACCATACCCCTCACCCTCACCCTCACCCTCTCTACCTGAACTCAACTCACCAAAATCCTCAACTCAGTAAACACATCCTGAACGCCCAAGTGGCCATCCGCTCTCCTTGCTGTAAGCCCCCTTCCTCCTCTCAAACGCCCCCATAAAACCGGATCTAACATTCCCTGTGTGCGCCAGGTAAAAAATGGTTCGACTGCGCCGAATGCCACCAAGAACAAGAATCCCACACCCTCACCAAAACCACTGAAATGGTACCTACACGAACCAAACCTCCTACCACAAGCCTCAATCACCAACCGAAATCCAAATCTAGGTCTTTGCGTGCAAGAAATGCAAGAAATGTTTCCGGAAAGACGCGACGGAGTTTGATGAGAGGTGCGTCGTCGTCGTCACCCGCCCCCACACCCGCCCTTCTTGGATAAACCGGAGGGGCTATCTATAAAAAGAGAGAGAGAGATAGGGGGAGGGGTAGTTACAAATGGGTCGTATATTGACTTGAACCTATTTCTGGGTCTAGTGACGAGTACTGCCCGCACTGCGATAACCATTTCGTGATTGAGGCCGTTACGCCGACTCCGACGTTGCAGGTCGAGGGTGAGGATGCGAGGATTGACTCGAGGTGAGATGCTAATTCCCTCTACCTTTCTATTATGTCTGGGAATTGACTGACGAAATTTGTTCGTGTAGGATGCTCAAAGACGACCGTGTTCGCGGACACCAGGAACGCTCCATCTTCAACTTCAAAGATATTTCCGATCGCTTGGGTTAGACGCCAGACCAAGACAACAAACAAGACAAACCGATGGGTTGATGAACGAGATTTACGAAATTATGCATACACTTACTTTCTACATAAATAATTCTGTATATCACCTTGAACCTAGAGCTTCATATATATCCGGAGCACATCTGCATTACAGTATAACGGAGTTTATTTTCGTGAAAAAGGACGTAACGCTTCTGCAAGATCCCTAGACAATTAACCGGATAGAAAGCACACACCGCACGAGAGTCTCATAGTAGCTTATTCGACGTAGCCTCTACATTAACGGCATGATCATCCCCCTACTCCCGGCTCTCGCTGCCCTCGCCGCCACCAGGCCGTGTTAGAATAGCAGCCGTCGTGGTGCCGCCGCGACCCGTCTTCTTCTTAGCCGCCTCCTCCTGCTTCTCCGTCTCTATGCTTTTAACGTACGACTCGATCTGGTCATCCGGGAGCATCTCGATCGACTTTCCGGGCGACATGATAGCCACCTCGATGTTCTTCGCACCAGTCTGCACCACCTCCAACAGCGACTTGATGGTGAGCTGAATGGTCTGTTCGCGATCCATATCCTCCTGGTGGTTGCGTTCGAGGAACTCGCGCACAGTCTTGCTGGAGCGTCCGATGGCATTTGCTTTCCTATATCCAGACCATCGTCAGCTTTAAAACCATCCCCATACTATCAACACAAGACACAAGAGAGGGAGAATAAACCCACCAAGCGGAATAAATCCCCGAAGGCTCAGTCTGATATAACCTCGGCGTCTTATCATTGGGGTCGAAACCCACGACCAGGGTACTGATACCGAAGGGTCTAACACCACCACTCTGCGTGTACCGCTGCTGCACACCGGCAATGTACTTCGTGATGTATTCGATAGTGACGGGGTCTTCGACGGTCAGACGGTGGGACTGAGCTTCTAGACGGGCTTTGTCGATAAGGATGCGGGCGTCGGCGTTCAGGCCGGCGAAAGCCAGGACGGCGTGGTTATCCACCATGGCGATCTTGGACGGTGTGATGCGGGTATCTTGGAGCTTCAGTGCGGAGCGCTTCTCGCAGCCGAGAACGACCACGTCCTTGCCTTTTACTCCGACGGCGCAGGTTCCTAATAGGTTGAAAGGGAAATGAGTGAGTATGATGCGATGGATGGAGATTCCCTTGGTGTCGGAGGGAGGGAGGGGTTGGACGAACCTCGCTTGACGGCTTCCATGGCGTATTCCACCTGGAAGACGTGCCCATCGGGGCTGGGAGCGGGTTAGGGTGTGTTTGCTAGAGCTTCATGAAGCTAAAGATTCATACCTGAAGACTGCAAAGAGGTTAGAATGGGGAATCCCTTCAGCAACCAGGCCCGTAGCCAAGGTCGTAGCTAGCTTGTCTTACCTGAAAGAGCTCGGTCATATCCAGACATTATGGGCAGTCGGCGAGATTAGGAGAATTCTGAAGAAGAGGTGACTGGACTGAAGTTCACGGGAGAAAGAAGAAGGTCAGGGAGATACAATTCGGAGTCTTGGGTCGTAGAATGCTGGGGTCCGGTGTCCGGCTGGGCGATGACAGATGGAGGTGGACGCGAGGCCCGCCGCTGCCTTGAGAGCTCCCAAGCGCTTGGCGCGCGGCTAGCCGCCATGACGCTCTCCCTCCAGCTGGTTCTCCACGACCCTACTCCTAGCACAACTCTTGCTTCTGGTGCTTGCGAGTTCCATGCAGTAGACAGTACCCACCAAGAAATAGGCCACAACGGGAATACAAAAAAAAAGAAAAAAATACCACTCTAATGGCAGCCTTAATTTAATCGTCCACAATTGATCACGACGACCAATGCGTAGATATTCACAGGTTAGGTAGTGAAAAGGATTCTCATATAGTTGATCTACACCCCAATCGCCCATGACCCCCTGCCCAGCTGAGCTCTGACTATGCTGTACATCACACACGCTGAAAGGCGATACGAGAGAACGCAGGCATCGGGCTGGTCAAACCAATAATCACGTCTCGACTTTTGAGGGAAAGAACGACAAATCCCGCAGGGAAAGCATATGTAAACACAAGACGAGAACAGTATAAGTAATATGAAGAACAGTACAAGAATTATGGACACTCAGAACAATCTTGTCGCACGCACGACTCCCAATCCATGTGCCTCGCAGATGTCCCAAATCCGTCGTAGCTGGTTGAAATTTTGCTGGCTCAAAAGGAATACCCCAACACCCCCAACAGAGTCCGTTCCATTGTATCCCAACCATGATCAATACCGTGATTCTCCAATGATCCCTATTGTCGAAGCGCGCAGATGAACTCGGAAAGCCAACAAATAAAAAGGAAAAAAGGAAAAAGGAAAAAGAAAAAGACAATATCTAGAATGCAATGCCATGCTCGAGCCCTTCCTCGCCAGCGCCGCGGCTAGCCGGACAGGAGTTCCTCCCCTCCGCCGGAGGTGTATGCGCCCATGACGAGAGAAATGCGCGAAGCCCATGCCGCTCCAAGAAGGAAAGAAAATGAAAAAAAAAAAAAAAAAAAAACAGAACAAACGCAAAACGATGATCCAGCAGGTGGTGAAGAAGCGCATAGGACCGCCTGGGCCCACCTGCCCGGGCGGTCTTCTTCTATACCCTCAAACATCGCTTGCAAAGACACGATAGTAAGACATACCGAAAATGGTCTGACGTCAAATCTGCGAGACCAGGCAAAAACAGAAAGGATCAAATCGGACGAAACGACGACACGCTACCGGCCTGCTCCTCCCAACCTAATGCACCAGAACTGCAGAATTCCTTATACAAATGCGCATCAACGGAATACCAACCGTCACATATACCAACATATCCAGACCACCATATGGACAAAAACCGTGAGGGAGAACCGTCGTAGAAAACAAATCTCTAAAGTCCCCGGCCGAAACAACATTGCTGTTCCCTAGCCTTTTACGCGGGGGACTTGTTCGCACTGGCGCCGTTGCGACGAGAGTGGGCATCTTCACCCACAGTCAAACCTCCCAAACCCGTCGAGAGGAAGGCAAACGGATCGCTCGAGCCATCATTGCCGTAGAAGGCACCGTTGGACGCACTGGTCGACGAGTTGTGATCAGCCCCCGTGAAGGCAGCCTGGGCGGCCGGGTTGGAGAACGAGGCCGCAGAATGGGAAGCATTCGCGGAACCATAACCAGCGTTCATTTGACCCATAGGGGGGTATGCGGCCGGGGCGCTTCCCAAGCCCGAAGGCAAGGCAGCATAGTTGTTGGGGGGCGCGGCAAACTGTTGACCAAAGCCGCCAAAGGCACCAGTGCTAGCCGTGAAGGGTCCGGGTGCCGGGGTGCTAGTCATGGAGTTGGGGCCCATGCCAAAGCTCGAGGGAGGATCCATCGGGGACGGGAAAGCGGAATCGGCCACCACTGCTGCTCCAGACCGAGGAGCACCGCAACGCAGGCAATTGATGTTCTTGGCGAAGTTGTGGTAGCCACAGCCCTCGGAGCCACACTTCCAGTCACCAGCACGGAAAGGCACCACACCACCGTTGCCGCCCATGCCGCGGGAATGGCCCATTCCGTGGCCGTGGCCCATGTGAGGAGGCATCATGGACGGCGGGCCGTAGCCGTAACCGTATCCCATCGGGTCGGGGGCAGCGGCCATCGCGGGGAACGAGCAACGAAAGCATGCAGTACGGCGCTGGAAGTTCGAGAAGCCACATGAGGGGCAAGTCCAGTCACCGGGACGAGGGCGGTTCTTCGAGGGAGGGAAAGGCGTCAAAATCTCCGCGGCACGGTCCAAGACACGGCTAGAGGAAGGAGACACCTCGATGGCCTTTTCGTTAAGAGCACGACCGTTCATGCAGAGGCTCTCGGCAGCCTGTATGGGAAGTTAGAGATCTGGTCTAGAATTGATAACAGAAGAGAATGGCAAGCTATTTCATACCTCTTCGTGAGACGAAAAGACGGCAAAGCCGGTGCCGGTAGGCTTGTGCTGATCCGGGGTGCGGAGGGTCCAGAACGCGATCGGACGACCGCCAAACTGAGTGAACCAGCTCTCCAGCTCGGACTGCGTGGTGTCGTGGGGGAGTCCGCTCAGATGAAGAACCTTGCTGCGCTCGGCCAGGAAGGCACGAACGTCCGCTCTGGCATCCATGGGACGGGTGAGAATCTCGGGATGCTCATGCGGGGGCTGAGACTTCCGGATCAAGCCGCGCAGCACTCGGGCCAAGGTGATGGCCTCCTCCATAGCGCGCCGGGGAGAGGCGGGAGCCAACGCCTGCAGGTGGAAGGGAAGGTTGTGCTTGATGGGGGCGGAGGACTGGACGGGCTCGACTTCGAGGGCGGCGCAGATGTTGGAGAGAGAGCTGGGGCCGAAGGGCAGAGACTCGGGGTGGTGAGTCTGCCATCGCTGATATTCGGTACGGAGGTCGAATGTCCGGGAGTGCTGAAGGTATGCCGGAAGCACGACTGCCTTGTCCCGAGCCTCACGAGGCAGCTGTACACGAAGATCCCACGAATCCAACGTCACAAAGGCGAACTCCAGGTTCTTGCTGATGAGGTGTTCCTGGGCGAAAGCGTCGAAGCGGTTGATGGCGTCGCGGAAAGTGCCTGCCGAGCGGACGTGTTCCCATGTCAGAGTCGTCAAGCTCGCTTTCAAAGACCGTCAGCCATTGAACCAAGGGACGGATAGATGCGGAGGGACGGTGGAGGTAAGAGAGAGGGAGAGAAAGGCATTGTTGGGTGATTGGGTAGGCTGCGTTCGAACAAGGTGCACTTACTGCAAAGAGGCGTGATGGGGGTGTTGACGGGCTTGACAAGAACGCTCTCATGGTGCAACTAAGCCGAGGAAGGAAATAGTGTCAGCAAATGATAGAAACCTGGAGGACCTTCTTTTGGGGAGGGGGGTGGTCTCGGTTGACGAAGGAAGCACGGCAGATAAGCATCCGAGAGAGGGGAATTTGTAAAGGAGGAGGAGGGGGGGAAAGGCTGGGGCAGTGACTGAATGAATGAGAGATAAAATAAGCAATCCCACGTACCTCCTCGCAGGTTTTGGTATCCAACAAGATCCACCCCAACTCAATCACTTCAGCAGAGTCCTTGGTGACGTAGACTCCATGTTCGTCGCAGGTGGTCGCAACGTGGATAACAATGTAGCGATCCAGCTTGGGAGTGGGAGCTGAAACGGCCATCGCTCACGGTGGTTGTCTAGACGCTGGCTGATTCTCACGGCCAACGGAGCGGGCAGGGGGGGGGTGGAGGGAGGAGGAGGGAGGGAGGAGGGAGGAAAAGGGACGGGTCGGAGAAAGGAAAAAAACGTGTCTCTGCAGGGACAAGCAGGCGACACGGATTC